TTGAAAAAGAGGGCTTTTAAAACCCTTGAAAAACTCTCTAAAGCCAATAATCATCTAAATTATTTTCGATAAATGCATGAAAAAAGGATATAACTACACCACCTATACAATGAAATGCACTTGACTGACCAAACAATAAGAGTCATTTAGACTCGGAAGGTTATGAAAACGTTAATAATGTAAAAGCACTCAGGGCTGCACATTGGCAAGCTCAATAAGTGTCTAAATGTGTCCTCACCAACCGTAGCATTCACAGCTGTGACGATAAGAGGAAGTTGCATTTGAGGGTTTGAGGGCTTTACCAACAGCAAATGCAGAAGACCATCAAGTTTGCCAACAGAGCAAAGACCATAATCCAGTCACAACTGAAAGCAGCCTCACGAGCATGTATTCAGGTCGTGCGATGAGTTTTGTAGCACTTCTTTGGGCTTGTAGATGGAGTGAGATGCTTCTAGTAGGTGCAAATGATAACTACGATTATATCTGCATGGGAAGGAAGATGGTGAGAAATTGTGCCCAGACAAAGATGTTTAGCAATGGTGGAGGTCACTGTAAATTATGAAATCCATCGGTTCACACAGACACCTTGCAACATACTGGAACAAACGTCCGTCTCAAACACGTTTCCTGTGAAGTTTTCAGTGGATACGATAACTGTGATGAAAAAATAATCAAAAGACGGAAAGCACAAACACACAAAACAAAAAGGCTGAAGTGATGCACAATTAATTTGTATAAATAACAGTTAATTTATTCATATCCGTCGATATCGGATGTTTAACTGAAGACGGTTATTTCCTCTATTTTTACATTTAGATAACTTTTTTCTGTCATCAAACACACCCTTAAGTTTAATTATTACAAGCACTAATAATTAAACACTGTTAAATGCAAACTTTTCCAGACTTCAAAATTAATTGTGCAACGTGATGCCTAAATTTACGTTTAGTTTTTAGGGTTTTATTTTGAATGTATTTGGACAATATATCAAAGCATTTTAATATTGTCCGTTTATCTGTGATGCAAGAAAATGATTAATCGGCCAGAATTCTTATGTGTGCTTTTCTTTTACATGCTTTGCTATGTACTATGCGATGTGTGAGGGAACGAATTTAACAGCATTGTGTTTATTTTCACACTTCGCCTCATTTGTTTCCTCTATTCTGACTCTTCTCTTTCTCTCTGTATTGCCTCCAAAGAAATAAATCTACTTAGTAAACTAATACACTTTCAAGACTACTTGTTGCATCATGCATGTGAATGATACATACAAAAAATGATGCAAAAATATATGCATTTAAAGGGATACTCCACTTTTTTTGGAAATAGTCTCATTTTACAACTCCCCCAGAGTTAAACTGTTGAGTTTTACCGTTTTTGAATCCATTCAGCCGATCTCCGGTTCTGACGGTACCACTTTTAGCATAGCTTAGCATACATCATTGGAGTTGACAAGACCATTAGCAGTTCTCAAACAAAAATCACCAAAGAGTTTCGACATTTTTCCTATTTAAAACTTGACTCTTCTGTAGTTACATCGTGCACTAAGACCGACGGAAAATGTAAAGTTGCGATTTTCTAGGCTGATATGGCTAGGAACTATACTCTCATTCCTGCGTAATAATCAAGAAACTTTACTGCCGTACCATGAGTGCAGCAGGCGTAATGATATGACGCAGCGCCTGAAAATAGGCCACCTTCCGTCAACACAACGGAACTATTTTCAGGCGCTGCGTCATATCATTACGCCTGCTGCACTCATGGTACGGCAGTAAAGTTTCTTGATTATTACGCAGGAATGAGAGTATAGTTCCTAGCCATATCAGCCTAGAAAATCGCAACTTTACATTTTCCGTCGGTCTTAGTGCACGATGTAACTACAGAAGAGTCAAGTTTTAAATAGGAAAAATATCGAAACTCTTTGGTGATTTTTGTTTGAGAAATGCTAATGGTCTCGTCCACTTCAATGATGTATGCTAAGCTATGCTAAAAGTGGTACAGTCAGAACCGGAGATCGGATGAATGGATTCAAAAACGGTAAAACTCAACAGTTTAACTCTGAGGGAGTTGTAAAATAAGCCTATTTCCAAAAAAAGTGGAGTATCCCTTTAACACACACATAAAGTAGTGGCCAAAAGGTTTAGGAAAAAAGACATCTTAAAAAAACTTTTTTTTTTGGATGTTTAATCGAACTTGTAGGGTCATTAAAAACAAATATCACTTGACCTTATTGCATAAGCATTTGTAGGAGTAATATATATACACACATTTAAATAAATCATGCAATTGATTTACCAAGGTTTCTTTGTGCTAGTCAATTTACTGGCATTTGCGCCATTATATAACTCCCCCAGAAAAGCATGTTTTAAACCAGATTACGTGATGACAGGGCCCATGACAACACTGCAGGCTGACCCCACAAAAGGCTTTAGTTGTACCCGCTTTCTTTTCTTACAGCTCATTCTTTTCCTTTATCCCCCCCTTCTCATACTCTCAGGCTCAGGACGTTCCCTCCCCCTCCAACAGGAAGTCTTGTGTGAGTGGAACTGGAATGATAGGATACCAGGAAACAAGTTGTCACACTGCAATCCTCTCTCTCATACACACACACACACACACACACACACACACACACGAAAACACCCACTGAACAAATAAACAACGAACATATGCAAGTAGACAAATTTGAGCCTCTAGACGTATATAAGACAAAAATGAGAGAGAGAGAGAGAGAGAGAGAGAGAGAGAGAGAGAGAGAGAGAGAGAGAGAGAGAGAGGGAGAAAGGGCGAGAGAGAGAGGGAGAAAGGGCAAGAGAGAGAGGTGAGTGAGTGAGTGAGTGTGAGAGAGAGAGAGAGAGAGAGAGAGAGAGAGAGAGAGAGAGAGAGAGAGAGAGAGAAAGGGCGAGAGGGAGAGAGAGAGATAAAGGGAGAGAGATAAAGAGTGAGTGAGTGAGTAAGTGAGTGAGAGAGAAAGGGCAAGAGAGAGATGGAGATAGAGAGAGAAAGGGAGAGAGAGATAAAGAGTGAGTGAGTGAGTGAGTGAGTGAGTGAGTGAGTGAGTGAGAGAGAGAAGACAATAGCAAAGTATGTCCTGGGAACAGAAAGTCAGGTGTCACAAACACAGCCACTTCCTTTTTCCACATGATGTCAATTTCCTCCAGAGTGAGATTCCACACACTGGCCCCTCATGAACAGACAGTATTTTAGTATAGGTGCCTTTGGAAAACAAAATACGTGTACATTTTCTCTGAAAACTCACCTCACTTCTTTATAGCTTAAGAATGAACCCAAAAATTAAAGATGGTCTTCCATTTTCTTTCAAGTGAATCAATGTCAGACAGACACTAACAGACGGAAAAACCTTTGTATACAATATATAATTCCTTTAGCAAACGTATTCTAACAACCGTCCTACGCTAGAACAACAGACGGCATGTCGGTACTGAGCTATTCACTAAAACCCTGAAAGACTTTGACTTGGTCAGTTCCAGCATTTGGCATTTTGGACAATTTCACCGGACAGCCGCACCCTCTTCCTCCCGTAGCACCAGGGGAGAGCAGACAGGAAGTGACCTTGTCCAGAACAGGAAGTGATGAAGCCTATGGCCTAATCTAATCCTAGAGACATTCCATTCTGTTTTCTACGCACTTCTATTTGATTCAATTAATCAAACCACATGATGCTTTTAAATGACAGTTTCAGTAGTTATGAAAAGAGTTCAACAGCAAGAGCTGCGCATCTTCAGGCCAGTCTGTCCATTTCTCTTCAGACTCTCTTTAAACTGGAGACCAAGGTGCTCGATATATTCCTTGACATACACCAAAATCAACAAATGTACCAATGAATCAAAACGACGGGAACAGTTTAACTAACACACACACACACACACACATACTATACAATAATAGCATATACAATAGTCAACATTTGAAGTGGATCAAAACCTTTCATCAAAGACAAGTTATACATGAATTTTGAACAATACCCGTTCTTGTCTTAGCACAACTTTGATTAACATTTTTGATCCACCTCAAATGTTGACTACTGTAGATGAACAGCACATTGGTCTAGATGTAACTATACAGTGACTGAAGCTCTAAAACCAACATTGCAGCAACTTTCTCATCATGCTCTCATTACCGCATTACTTCTGCTCTCATTATCTCGCTCTCCATCTTATTTAGTTCATTCACACAGCTATAGCAGATAAAATAGCCTAATAGTTTGCTTCATGCAAACAGTCAAAGCTGAGTAAAGAATGCAATACAATTGCACACAGAAACTTTAGTGCACCTGCTGCCGAATCATCCTTTGCTCATCAAACTCGTGTAAAGGTTTCAGATCATCTCAGCTCTCAGTTTCACCCATCATAAAGTGTCTTCATTGCTTTTCACTTACAGAGCAGTCAGCAGACTCCCATACGGGAACTAATCGCTTCCACCATCTCTTGAACTTTATTTACACGTCAATTTCGCAGTTAACACACACACACACAATCTTTGTGGGGACTCTACATAGACATAATGGTTTTTATACTGTCCAAACTGTATATTATGTCCCCTTACACTAACCCGACCCCTAACCCTACTCTTCACACAACTTTCTGCATTTTTACATTTTCAAAAAAACTCATTCTGTATGATTTATAATACGTTTATGTACGTTAATTTATGTCCTCAGACTCCCCACAGTGACACGAGTCACCATGAGTCTGTGTGCATGCAGGTTAAAGTCCCCGGGATAGAAAAACATGTCATGTATACACACCCACACACACACACATACGAAAACCAAAACGTAAATGCATCACTAAACAAGACATATTATTCCCGTTAACACCCTCAAATTGTCACCATAAGTTTATTCCCATACACCATATTCTGTGAACCTGCCACTGGCACTTTAAATAGTAAAAAAAAACTTTATTTCAAATCTCTTTCTTATTAACAAAAGTTAGTTGTTCAGTACAAATGCGTTAGGAAAAGTACTTCATTCCTACCTTTATGAATCCCTAACACACTGACAGTGACAGAGGCGGATCAGTGTGAGTTCACGTGAACTGAGTCCGTGCGGCGTTGAGCCGCGGATGCTCGAGTCGCGCGATGCCCGGAAGCGCCGCTGTGCGCGAGGCCAAGCGCGCGCTGACTCCTCCTACTCTTTTAGCACTTTACATATTCAAATTATTTCCGGGAAATCATATATATATATATATATATATATATATATATATATATATATATATATATATATATATATATATATATATATATTTCTCCCGCCGGACATAATATGGCGTTTTTTTATTGCTAAGAACATACATAATCAATGCCAGGGGTAAATACAATCTAGAGTACAAGTAGAGATTACGAAATCAGGAAAATATCATACAAATGACACAATGAGACAGTTTTAAGGGCTTTAGAGTTGCTGGATGTGTAAGGAGAGTGTCCAGGTACGATTTAAGTTCCTTACAAACTATGAAAAAGTAGGGCTTAGCAACCTGGAATCTACATTTGTGTAAGAAAAATTTCGCTTGAAGAATAAAATAGTTTATCAAAAAATATTGGTCCTTTATATCTTTATCAAAGTTGTGCTGGCAATTTATATTTGTTTGCTAAATGCTTCTCACACTGCTGAGGCTTTAACACCTAAATAGGGCGGAGGTAAAGTGTCATGACTCGTCTCGCATCGACAACCGCCGGTGAAATTTAGTGTGATTTGTGGAACTACTAGTTTTAGTTGTCATGTTCTGAGAGAGAAAAAGTATGCATTAGACATATTAATGCGATAAAATATTCAGACATCGTAGTTTTGACACTGCGTCTGTTGGATGCTACCGGAAAACGTTTCTTGTCTGATACCGACGGCTAGTGTCTGTCTCGTGGTAGTGCAGTTCTGTCTGGCTCGTGGCTTTAGCAAATGACATAAGGTGTTAAAGGGACAGTTCAACCAAACATTAAAATGCTGTCATCATACTCACCCTTAAGTTGTTCCAAGCCTGTATGAATTTTACTTCTGCTGAACACAAAAGAAACACTTCAAAATATCTTCTTTTGTGTTCAGCAGAAGATTCACACAGGTTTGGAACAACTTGAGGGTGTGTAAATGAAAGAATTTTTTGACAAAACAATGGCACTGACATGTTTTAAGATATGCTTTCAGTTAAAACAGCTCAAACATGCATTTTTGGCTGGGACTTGTCTGTGAAACCGGGGTTGAATAATAATAAAAAAATGTATACAATTAAAATTACCAATAAACTATGTTTGATGTTAATTTTGTGTTAGATAATAGTTTATCAAGCATTTTTATAGGCTCTTCATTTATCATGCATCTAAAAACTTGAGGAAGAGCATGTGTGAGCAATTTACTTTATGCACATCATATACATGCACATGAATCAAAACAGGAATGTCATAGTAAAATATTTTATTATACATAAAAATGCACAAATAACACCCAACAACCAAGTTTTTTTTTCATCCAGTTTTCGCCCACTATAAATCAGCTCTCAATCTGAGAGAGAAACAGGCTGTTCTTAGTGTCAAACTTACATAAACATTCATCAAAACACACACACACACACAAAACACAATGAAGAGAATACTGCAGCAGGGCAAAGACACATTCACAGTATAAGAAAAAGACCACAATGAGGCAATTTGCTCATCATAGGACGTGTGCAAAATTCTCTGCCTCCTAAATTCAAACATGAACCAGTAGCAGATGATCAACCAGCCCATAGAAGCCAGAAATAAGACAAGAGAAAATGAAAGAAAATAGCTCTTGAGCCTTTGTGCTTTAAAGTGTGATTGTGTGCAATTTGTGTCAACACATGCTATAATCAGAGCATAATCGCGAGTATGCAGGACATCTCTTGTTTTAATGCTCTTTGGAAAAGCATTAGGTCATGTAGCGTGTAATTGCCCTGAGAGCATAGAGTAAAGCTGCCTGCAGTCGCGCCTCCATCAGTAACAGGTTCACATGGACCTGCATAAAGAGATCAACACAAATTACACATGACAAGTAACACATGCATTCGTACTACCTTCAACTGATGAACCCATTTGTGAAGTTCAGGAAAAAAAGAGACTATTGTTGTTATGAAACTCATCCTGAAACTAATTGTACCGTAACAAGATTAACTGAGCAAGTCACCAGCCGCAATAGAAACTTTATGTACATCTGATTTTATTTTTAAAAGGAGCTTTCAGTCTGACACAACCATCAGAAAAAAGTTCAATCCTGAACAGAACCACTAGAGGCCACTAACACATCACACCAAAATGCAAACTATTCAGAAAACAGCCAAGAGAGGAAGCACGGATATTTCAGTTGAAATGAAACTTTATGAACACACTTGACACTACCATCAACAAGAAGTCTCACACATCTTGTACCTTTTCTGAGTGCCGGAACTGCCTCCAGAAGGAGAAGTACATTCTTGGTGTTGTTTTCTCCGGGTGACAAGCCACTGTCTTCACATACACTTTTAAACTGCGCTCCAACAGCTGGTTGACCTCCCCATAATTGTAGTCATCATACCTGTGTATGCAAACATTGACATTAGAACAATTTTAACAACCAAAATGATTGCATTTTATGGCTACCTATTCTCTGATAATGCGCAGTCCTTATGGCAGGGACTATTTTTTCTTCTTATATAAACGTAACCCTGACTCACTTTTGTCCCGTACAGGCTGAATGTTATAAGGTCGATTCATGGCTATGATGCGCACATGACTGACCTGATGCCGTAAATGCACTGTATATAGTTCCATATCGCTTTCCGCAGCGTAGAAGTGTCCACGTGCGAGTGCATGGCCATGGTGTGATACGTGAGCGCGCACACCACCTGAAACTTCTCATCCAGAAGCTGTGCCATCTCCCCATACAGCCGGTTCATAAGAGAGAAGCCGTGATCTTCCCACGAATAGTCCTGCAGGCACAAAATCATACACAAAGATCAACATCATGCAACCAGTGTTGTTATTGCTAACTAAATCAAAAACTATAATTGTAATTGAAATAAACAAGTTTAAGCTGAAGTACTAAAGTGACTAAAACTAACCCTAACCCATTCTAAAAACAAACAAAAGGGCAAAACCACATACAAAATTAACTAAAATGAAACTGAAAATATAAAACTAAAACTGAAATAAAAAATTTAAAAAATTTAAAATTTAAGCTAAATAGATTTTTTTTAACAAACAGAATAATAAAGGCAAAAACCACATAAAATTACTAAAACTTAAACTAAAATGAAACTGAAAATATAAACTAAAACTGAAACAAAAATAAATTAAAGCAAAAAACAAAACCACATAACATTACTAAAACTTAAACTAAAATGAAACTGGAAATATAAACTAAAACTGAAACAAAAATAAATGAAAGCAAAACAAAACCACATAAAATTACTAAAACTTAAACTAAAATGAAACTGGAAATATAAACTAAAACTGAAACAAAAATAAATGAAAGCAAAACAAAACCACATAAAATTACTAAAACAAACTAAAATGAAACTGAACATAAACTAAAACTGAAACAAAAAATAAATTAAAGCTAAATAGAAATAGTTTAAAACAAATAATAAAAAGGAAAAAGCACATAACAAAACTACAAAATGTAAACCATAAATTTTTAAAACAAACAGAATAATAAAGGCAAAACCACATAAAATTACTAAAACTTAAACTAAAATGAAACTGAAAATATAAACTAAAACTGAAACAAAAATAAATTAAAGCTAAATAGAAATTTTTTAAAACAAACAAAGACAAATAAAAAGGAAAAAGCACATAACAAAACTACAAAATTTAAACCAAGATAACATAAAAATAAGAGCTAATTAAAAAAATAAATACAATAATAATATTATATAAATAATACTAAAATAACACTAGTTACAATTCACATGATGTATTTCAGCAAAAAAGTAAATCTTTGAAACTGTGTGTGAGAAAAGTACTGAACCTGAGCTCTCATGGTTGGAGGGGCCTGCACTCCTCTAGGACTAAAATCCTGGTAAGTAAAATCTGCATCCACAACGAACTGCGAGACACAATCAGGAAGAACGGAGCGCTGAACTGTAAAACACAGATCAGAGAGTGAAGATAAACGAAGCACAAAAAGATGGAGGGGGAAAATGCTGCAAACTTGTGCTTCTGTGTGTCACATCCATAATAAAGCATTAAAGCATGTTCATCTAGGAGGAAAAATGCATTGATTTGAATATTATAAAAGAAAAGAGAAAGCCCAAAATCTCACTTGGTGCCTGTTATATTTATGGGAAGTACTGAAATGATATGAAATAATCATGCATAAGCTACAACAGAAGACTATTTTGACCCAGTAGAAGTGTATTGAATTATTCGTATGTGTGTGTGTTCATACCATCAGCAGGTTCCAGCAAACTCTCTGTCCTCTCTCTTTCAAAGCGAGTAACCATCTCCTCCGGAGTAAACTCTTCACCTTGCTGCCGAACCTTCATCATCTTCTCCATCAAAAGCTTAACCTCGTTCACAGCCTCAGACCACTGCGCACAGACACATAAACACACACACACACACACACACACACACACATGAAAGAGATTTACCTGAAAAATCTTTAACTTGATACAGCAGTCATGATTTCAGTACCTCTTGCTGGCTTCTGGCCTTGTCTCGGGCAGAACAACAGGACTCTGTGGGCGAACACGTCTGGAGCGACGGATCTCCTGACGGCTCAGGCTCGGGGAGAATCCCACAACCCCACACAAACGAGGCCAGAGAGTGGGCATGGCTCATCAGAACAACTGCCTGAATCAGTTCTGCCAGAGACCATCGAGCCTCTGCACCGGGACAAACTAACTCCTGGCAATATACAAGAGGTTTTTTTTTAAAAACAATGACTACAACAGTGGCCAAACGTGACGTCCGGAGGGCATGTTTGTTTTTAATGACCCTACAAGCTCGATGAAACCATCAAAAAAAATTATATGTTTTAAGTATTTTAAATATGAGGGAAGAACAAAAGACTAAACTTGGTTATGGTATTTATCTGAGAAAATTATTTGGCAAAAAATGTGTGATTGAATTCACTAAAATGAAGGTGCACAATAATAATATTGTCAGTAATAATATACGTCCGGAGGGCATGTTTGTTTTTAATGACCCTACAAGTTTGATGAAACCATCAAAATATGGGGATAATATTTAATATATGTTTTAAGAATTTTAAATATGAAGGAAGAACAAAAGACTAAACTTTGTTATGGTATTTATCTGAGAAAATTATTTGGCAAAAAATCTGTGATTGAAGATATTTGTGATATTTGAAGAAAAATAAAATAATTTAACATTTTCTCACAAAATAAATTATCGTTATTGTAAATGCTGCAACTATAGTTGTGCTGCTAAAATCTAGTTACGCCAGTAGCATCACTACTTTTACTCATTTACTACCATGAGATCCTTATGTGCCAAAATGAGTCGACTACATTGTGCTGTACATGTCTCAGTTTTATACTTTATAAGACTAAATTAAATCTGTTTATCATATAAAGCGATCGAGTGTCTTCAGAAAAGTTGTACTAAACCGCACAATTCATATACATTAGTTTTACGATCTCTTTATGAACATTTTGAAGCGTCAAAGTGGTAGTTGCGTAGCTGTAAACGGAGGGACAGAAATCTCTCAGATTTCATCAAAAAGATATTTATTTGTATTCTGAAGATGAACGAAAGTCTTACAGGTTTGGAACGACATGAGTGTGAGTAATTAATGACAGAATTAAATTTTTTGGGTGAACTATCACTTTAAGGACCATCTAGAGTTTCATAACAGAACTTTGTATTGATTGACTAGGAATTACATTAACATTAAATGGTTCTTCTCCCAATTTCCTCCTCAAAGTAGCTTCCCCATCCCTGATGATCTATGCGTTTCACCTGTATGTGTTCCTGCGTGATGATCCAGGGTCTGTGTGCCAGCAGTTTGTTGAGAGTCTGCAGGTGCTGTATTTTCGGTGGTGCACAGTCAAGTCCTCTAAGCCAGGACTCATCTCCACCAGCCAGCAGAAAAGCAGAGCTGTGGTGCTGAACTAAATACGAGCACTGGTGACGTGCAGATGCCTGCAAAGACAATTACTGTTGAGTATATTATAAACACTTATACTACGGGGCTGTTGAATGCTTGAATCTGATTGGTTGACGAATGTTCTATTTTTTTCAGGGAAACGCACAGCTAAAGTAGTTCCAGGCAGGTCTTGACCGCATTACAGTTTCATATCACTTCGCCAAATGATTTCAGTTATTTCAAAATTCCTTACAGCCTACAACAACAAATGAACCAAAACCCACAATGACACTGACCAAGCAAATAAATATAGTAAACACTAGGATAAAAACGGCAAATTATTTCCATGTTTTTTGCGACAGAACTACGTTTTATTATGTACGGAAAGCACTCTCTCCTGCTCTCTCCAGCTCAAACGCACACACACACACACGGTAGGGACACACACTCGCACAGAAATGTGTTGTCAGCGCTGCTCTGGCGATTTTATCACTAAATCAACTTATAAGCTATAAGACATTTCTCACTAGCGATGTAATAACAGCGCTGTTCTTGGAGCAGATAAACTTACAGTTTGCTATTAGTAGAGACGCTGCTGCCGAACAATGTTGAGAGACACACAGACTCAGGTAATTCACACACACTTAATCTCTCTCTCTCTCTCTCTCTCTCGCTCTCTAATAACTGCATTAATCAATGCTATCAATGGCTCAAGCCTACGTTACTAGCTCTAAAATTACATTTTAAAATTAGCAACAGAGGCTTGGGATTAGATGCGTAACAAATCAGCCCTACACACAGAGTGTTTTAAGGATAAAAACCTGACAAATGTCTTGAAATACATCCTCTCAGTGTTTTGAGGTGTGGTAACCAGAATAATTGACTCCAGGTCGTTGAATTATTGAAAAATAATGCATACTCAAAATGTAACGCCCACTCCACGCATTACCGCCTTGGGTGTGCATTATTTTTCTAATAATTCAACGTCCCGTCGTCAATTGTTCCCTACATACTCATTTGTGCATATTTAAAAGTAGGGATGCACCGATATGAAAATTGTCCGATACTGATAATCAACAATTCTTTATATTTGAAAGCCGATAACCGATATATTGCCTGATAAATCTAAATCCAAATTTCATATAATTTTTAAGAGCCTGATTACAAAAACGAAAGTTTTACCATTAAAAGCCATGTTCCAAGCACACAATTATTATGTTCTGATTATAATCTTATGTAGCCTATATGATAGCACATAACTGTAATTTTCCTTTATTTTTTAAGTGATTCCAATCATATTTCAAGCAGTTCAAATCCATCATGGTGAACAATGCACATCTGAAGTGACTCAGCTGAAGGAAAGGAAGTAATCCTTTATTTATCGGCTTTAATATAAAGATAACATTAACAAAAAAATTAACATATATCGGCCGATACCGATATGGTGGCCGATATATTGTGCATCCCTATTTATAACTTGCAATCTAACTTTTAAAAAGGCATCACACAAAAATATAAACCTCCTCCCTCACCAAGATGATTATAAAATGTCTCCATGACAAAGGCAGTGGACCATCCAGCTGGAGCAAAGCATGCTGGGTGCGCAGGAAACAGGTCAAGTAGGTGGGATGTAGTCCCATCGCCATGATGATATGATCGGCACGTCCCTCTGACAACGGAGCCTCTGACATCACTTCCTGTGCGGCCCCTTCCTCCAGAATCTGTCACATACAGATATTCAGTGATCCGTAAACACTGACAACAATACTATATCTATCATCTAAAGGGGCGGTCACATGTATTGTTGCTCAGAGACATTTCAAATGCGAAATACAGGCATTTTAAAATGAATCTACGCAATCGGGAGTTTCGCCCGAGGGCAAAATAGATTTTGCTCATGTTCAAGTTGGTCGAATTCGCCACACAGACCAATAGATAAAGCTGCTTGGTTTGAAAGTGACTTCGGTGTGAGCAGTGTTTCATAAATCGCTACACTATTGACAAATACTTTAGGTCAAAACTCCATTTTATTGAAGTTTTATTGATGTGCATGTTTTTGGTTCTCTCGTGTCATGTCATGCATGCAGGCAAACAAATTAAATATATATGTTTGATTATTATTTTGATTCTAATTAATCTAATTAATAATTCTAGAATTAATAATAATTGTAATATAATTAAATTAATTATTAGCTTTTCATAAATCCTTGCAATTCCCTCACAAACCCCAGTTTGGAAAACCCAGATCTAAAAAAAGAGATCAGAATTTGTTGGAGGTAAAGACAAATACCATAAACTCAAAAACAAGGATGTTAAAAACAACAACAACATGCACCTCTTCAATTGGGATAAAGGCACTGGGCCCCAAGGGCAACGCCTGGGGTAGGTCTGATTCCTCCTGAGAAAAAGAAAGAGGGACAAAAGAGATAAATATAAGGCTCTCTGTTGTCCATTTAAAACATTTTGGGAAAATATAAGCCTTCTTTTATCAGAGAGATATTTGTGCATTATCATACAACTGGCACCAAGATATCATTCCTAGGCTGCTTTTCCCAAAAGCATCGTAAACTTAAGTTGATCGTAGAACAATTAGGCTTACGATGCTTTTGGGAAACGCAGCCCAGTATGATAAAAACAGCTTACTAACGACTAAATGGGTGCGAGTCATTTGCACAAATCGGTTCATTCAAACTATTCATTTCAAAGAACGATTCAGTGGTTCTTTGCGTCATCCTGCGGTTTATTAAAATCAACTCGGTTCCTTATTGACTAAACAATTAAGTCTTAAACATATTTCACATAAGTTTTATCAAACATTTCTTTATATTAAGCTTTCTTTTCGCCTCATCAGTTAAACGGTACACACCCCCAAATTGTCAAGTCCAAAGGAAACGGTTCTGGGTTCAGTGAGTCAGTAAGTCGTTGACACGAAACCGATTCAGTCCGATACATAAATAAATAATTCGACCGGTTTAACAGTTTCACTCAAACGAACAATTGTTTCACGAAATTGACATCGCTGTTTCAAATGGACCTTTTAATCATTCAGAGCATCGACTATAAACTTTATAAGTGTGCCGTAAAGCAGACACTAGACGCCGACACAGACATATTAAGAGTGACTCGGTCAGACCGGCGGCTAAATGAGCTCACCTTCATCGGACGAATATAGGTGTTCATAAGTCACAGGTTGAACAGAATATTGATGAAGAAGAGTCTCGCAGGGTTTGTGCTCTATGACTTCATTATGCCTGTTGTGGAAAGCAGGAAACAGCACCGGGAGGAGGCGTGGCGTACGTGAACACACAGCGCCGGACTCTTGCATCACCTCTCCGGCGCAACATGACGCAACCCGCCGGTAACGGAGATCCGAGCTCCGGGCTCCAGCTTCTAATCGGGTAGGGTTCGGTTAAAGTATAACAGTGTAGAGTCGTGAGTTCACAATTGATAACCGTTAAATGAAAGGGGATATATTTTCCCAAATCCATTTGAGAAAGATCTGTGTTTTTTTTCTTCTTATCTCATTAGCAGGTTAACTTAGATCAGGTTGCATAAACTGCTAAGACTAGCCTACTTCTTAAAAAATAGTCATCACATTTTTTTCTTTAAACTGTTCATAACTGTTTTAAGTCAGTGACATAACAAGGCATCTTTACACAGAAAAAGCGGCACAGCACAGAAACAAAATTAAAACACATAAAATCACAAAATTCTGAGCAGACAGAGCCGCTTTAGATCCGCCAACTCGGCTGTGTAAAGATGCCTAACGATAAACGTAGTTTGGTCTAATTTGATACTAAAAAGCAAGACTGTCGCCCCTTGACTTCTGTTAGTTGGTCATACTAGTACTTTAAGACACAGTCTTAAATGGCTATGTTTATGCAACTGGCCCCTGCTGGTCTACTGTAAATAAGCATTTATTTGACAGCTTTAGGTTTCACAGAAAGGGCTTAGATTAAGCCAGGATTAGGCCTTAGTTCAATTAGGTCATTTAAGCAGCTTTTATAAACGTGCCTTAGATAAAACTTTACTGATGTTCATCTTGAGGCAAAACAATGGCACGGACATATTGTGAGATATGTCAGTGCAAGTTGCTTTCAGTTAAAACAGCTCAAACATGCATTTTTGCCTTAAGTTTTGTCTGTGAAACAAGGGGTTAAAAAAATAAACTGGTCCAAGCTGGTAGACCATCTTGGACAAGCAACAAACCATGGATAAGCTTTCCATGTCAGCTTAAAGTCACCTTGAAATGAAAATTCACACATCCTAATGATCTTAATGTGGCCGGTTTAACAGTGGCCGGATGCATAAACTGCTTAGACTAGTTTTAAAAGTTAGTCATCTGCATTTTTTCATCAATACTGTTGCCAACTTTTAACATAAATAGATTGGTCTAATTGGAATTAGAAAAATAACAATGATTGCCCCTTGGGTAACTGCTAGTTGGTCAAACTAGTTCTTAAAAGGATAGTTCACCCAAAAATGAAAATTCTGTTATCATTTACTCAACCCTCATGTTGTTCCAAACCTGTATGAGTTTCCTCTGTTGAAAACAAAAGAAGATTGTTGGTAATCAGACAGTTGACGGCACCTATTGACTTCCATAGTAGGAAACAAATACCATACTGCGGTCATTTGCTACTGTCAGCAACTGTTTTATTACCAAATCTTCTTTTGTTTTCAACAGAAGAAAGAAACTCGTACAGGTTTTCAACAACTTAAGGGTGAGTGATGACAAGATTTTCATTTTTGGGGGAACTATCCCTTTAGGACATAGCCTTAACATAGCGGCTAAGTTTATGCAACTGGCCCACAGTTCATCCGCAGTTCATGTTACTTTTTTTTTTTTTTTTTTTTACTTCTCCAGTAATTTAGTCCACTTAACCCCCTCCCCCCCATGTGAAATCACATAGAAGGCGAAAAAGAAAATGTGAAAAGAGTATGTTTGAATTGACTGTATTCATAAAAGAGTAGGCAAAAAGTACACGGATGACTTATTACTTCCACTAAGACATATGATTGACACTTTACTATCCCATTAAGCTATGGGGGTTTATGTATGGCAGTCATGCAACTGAAGCTGGTAGGTCACATGACAATGACAACATGGCGAATCTAGTACTTCCGGATTACATTCACACTACACATTCATTAAATACTTTGTTGTATATCCAACATTAAAATTGGCTTCTGAAGAAAAATCAGATAATGAAGGCTCTGTAGTTAGAGAGAGAGAACGAGGCGCCTCCTTCACTTCATCTACAACCTTTCATTACCGCTGATGTTACATGACTGCTATACATGCACACAGACCCTTACGCTTGCACTTTACATCCCTCTGTACCCGGGGCTCCTAATAATTACACAGAACATTTTCTCTTATGTAACCTTGTATTGAAGTGATCAAGCCTAACACACATCTGTTCGACACACACATACAAGGACACAACAAACCAAGACACAGACACAAAATGGGATTTTATTGAATCATCACAAGCAGCATGTTTAGCACTTGCAGAGTCAGTGAATGTTTGCCCTTGAGTTACGTGTGTGTGTGTGTGTTGTGTCTGTGTATGTGTGTGCTTCATGGAGTGTTTAATCTGAGAAAATAATCAAGCATTCACACATTTATTTCAAGTCAAAACTTATATTAAATTACCATTACATATATATTCCTTATAAAATAATACTTTCGGGGCAGAATCTGAAAGAATGTGTTTGAGAAAGCTAGAATGAAGAAAGATCGTATGATTTAATAGACACACCACCTCCCCACAGGGAAGACTTTATTGTCCTTTCATTTGTTGTACATGAAGATCTTCTCAGATTTTATAGTCAAGCTTACAGGGTTTTGTTGAAGGGGGGGGAGAGATGGTTGTTTGAAAACTGACTCCTTTCGCTTTTATTCAGTGCTCCATCCCCATGGACAATATAGTGATGAAGGCAAAGAGGCAGAAAGAAATGGAGTGGATCTAAAGCATCAGGGTCAGAGGTCACAGGAGACATTTTACACAAGAAAAGAAAGGGATGTTAGTGTAAGAATTAGAGGTTGGCTCCTTCTCAAACTATCTTGTTCTCCAGGGCAGCGATCCTTTTCGTCACAGCGTCCAGTGATGCTTTTGTCAAGGAAATGATGCAATAGTACCATCCTAACCAGTTCTAAACATTTCTGATGCTTTATGCATTTATGACTATAACATTTCTTTTAGAGATGCAAGTTTGCAACAATAACAAAATTCTGGTCATTGCGGATAAGCCGATAAATGACTGATATTTTATTTACTATATTTTTATATACAGAACTTATTATTTTATATATTACATTTTTAATACAATATATTCAATTATATAATATTTTGTCTAAACAATTTAAATATATTTGCTAAATATTATATATTTTTTATTTTTGTAGTATATTTTTTATTTTGAATTATTTTTATAGTTTACAAATATATTTTATATATATATAAATAAATAAAAAATATATATTTTTTAAAATATTTGTAATTAATTTAGTTAATTATTGTTTTATAGAATTATTGTTTTGAGATTATAGCTGAAATAGCTGACAATGAGCATGCACAATAACATTTTCAATATCGGCCTGTATATATATCCTATAAACCCAATAAAAATATCCAATATCTGCCATAACTCAATATGGTACCACTATATCAGGCATCCCTGATTTTAATTATCATACAGCGAGTCCAAAACCTTCTTAAAAAGGCATTTCTTACCTAAAAAGATAGAGATGACACATTCGGCTAATGCACAGAACAGCGTTCAGTAGCATTATGTAAGTCAATATTGAATATTGAGCGTAATAGGATTTTGTATAAGTGTATATTTTCAGCATGGCAGATGTGGAATTGAGCTCTGAACTCTGTTTAGGAAAGGATATATTTCTTTGTTAATGCCTGTAGTGCCTCCTCCACCTTTTTCTGGAACTTGACAAGGGAATTACATTCACAGGGATCTTCTACTGTAAGTAATAGGACAAAAAAAAAAAAAAAAAAAAAAATCAATTGATGAATGCTAGTTTCAATGCTTATTTTTTTGTGGTTTTACTTACCTTGACAAACATTGATTTGCAGATTCTTGGCAATTTGGTTCATGGTTTTGAAGTCAGCTGTGTAGAAGTAATGGTCAGCGACAGGGATAGAGGCGATCTCTTTCAGCTCGTCCTCGACAGCATTGCCAACGCCCACAGCAAACATTTCAAAGCCTAAACACGCACACAGTGCACTGTAAAAACACTCATACACAGCATTGCATTGCATTTCTGTGTGTGCTATTTCCCCCCTAACCGTTCTCCTTGGCCTTCTTGGCGGCGTCTCCAATGTAGTCTTGCGACCTGCCGTCAGTGAAGACAATACCGACCTTTGCCACTCCAGGTCTGGCGCCCTGGTTAGGAGTGAAGCTGTTGTCCACCAGGAAATTGATGGCCTGGCCAGTCATGGTTCCCCTCTCCATATAACCCATCTTTTTCACAGCTTCTTTAAGGGCCTTTTTGTTGTTGTAGCGTCCCAGAGGAAACTCCTGCTTCACGGAGCTCGAATACTGCACCAGTCCCACATGAGCGTTGGTTTCTGACACGTCCAGTTTGTCGATGATCAGGTTGATCCATTTCTTGACCAGCTCGAAGTTCTCTGGTCTTACACTCTTGGACCCGTCGATCAAGAAGACCACATCTGTGGCGGCGTTACTGCAAGCTGAGATAACAGAGATAAAGTGTTTGGTGAATGGGGTTTCCAAACTAAACGGGGGGCCGCCAAAAAAAAAAAAAAAATTACCAAAAACAATTTTTTTAAACCAAAATTTACTAAATAAATGTAGGACTCTCAAAGTTTATATATATATTTATTATAAGATTTATTATTATTACAGATTCATTTTTAGTTTCTGTTTTCTATAGAGGGAAGGCATGGGATTAATTGTGATTATTCTATTGACGGCCCTAGATTTCAACAATAAAAAATTTAAATGAATCTGCATATATTTGCTATATGCACTGTTATGAACATTTTGTCCGATACCGATAATTCTTTATATTTGAAAGCTGATAACCGATATATTGGCCAATAAATCTAAATCCAAATTTTTATATAATTTTTTAGAGCCTAAAACAAACATTTCACCATTAAAAGCCACGTCCCAATCACACAATTAAAATGTCCTCATTATAATTTTATGTTGCTTATATGGCAGGCGTGGCATATTACACTTTGTATTAATTCTGCACGTTGCACTTAACTGTATTTTCCTTTTTGAAGTGATTCCAATCATATTTCAAGCAATTCAAAACCATTATGTTGAACTGCGCATCTGAAGTGACTCAGCTGAAGGGAAATAATGCTTTAATATATTGTCCAAATTTTCTGCTGATAACGATAACAATAAAAATGAACATAAATCGTCCGATATCGATATGGTGGCTGATATATTATGCATCCCTAATATTTTCGTAAAAATCTTCTTTGTGACATATGGACATAATCTTAAAACATAACTTTGTTTCTCTAATGTTTATACATCTAACATAACTAGTGGGTATAAAAAGATATCAACTTAAAACAAAGTAAATCTTTTCCAGATATTTCCCAAAACTCTTGGATAATTTTTGGATAATTTTTTTTATAATAATATTTTATAATTTATTTTCTCACACATAATAAATGGGTCTTGAGCATTAAGAAAATGTAAAAAAAAATAAAAAAAATAATTAATTCTCGAGTGCCTTGGCCTTATAAGTTTCTTAAGTTTAAGTATCTCTTATCCAAAGAGCACCAGGATGCGAAGATTTTTACCCCAGTTGCACTCTTTGCATTTCTTGTTTTATAATAACTTATGAATAATAATAATAATTTATGTATTTTATAGGACAAGGATGTTGCCATATTTGAGGGTCACATTAACAAGCTTAAAACCATTGTGGTAACTGAAGTCAAATTATAAATGGGCCATTTAGTCACATGATTTGTCCATTTAGAGTGAGTGTGTGTTGGTTAAATGTCTCTTGGCCAATAAGATTGAGGTTTTATATACATCAAAATCTGCACATGTATGGAGTCTTTTGCTCATGTGTTTGACTCTTACCCAACATTCACACATACTCACCGCTGCATGTTCGGCCGTCGCCCGTGAGTGTGTGACCCTCTCTGCAGGCGCACTTGAAAGATCCGGGTGTGCTGATGCAAATGTGCTCACAGTCATGATCGCCTGTCGCGCATAGGTCCGACACAACCGCTACCATGAATGTAACACACACACACACACACCGGGTGGGGGAAGGAAGGGTTAGCGAGGAGAGAATTACTCTATGTGAAAGTGGGAACTCAAGAAAATCAATGCGTTTTAACAATCCACTGCACTTGAAACGAACAGCAAATCTTTAAAACACACAGAAATGTGTCAGAGACTCAGGCACTTGAGGACAGTCTCAATTTGTCTCAATGTGGTTTGTCTCAGGTGGCTGTTTCTCTGACTTTCTACCGCATTGGTTCTCAACCTTTTAAATTGCGAAATTGTCTAATTTGAAAATTCTCAAATGTCACATACAGAGCAAAGAATTATGTCTTGTTTTCCATTACAAAAATCAAAAAAATTCTTAAATCAAGATGCATTTACTTGAGAAGCAAAATGACTTAAGATGTTGTTTTCTGAAAATGTGATCAAAATTAAGGGGAAAACCCTCTTTTGGTGTTAAAAAAACTATTGTCATATCAGGATTTACTAAAGATATCCAGTGAAAAAAATTAACAGTTATTTTTGCAGCTGACCTAATTGCATATGCATTTGTATGAGTTTCCCTGCTAAATGTATGGGACGAGAGTATTTAAATAAATCCCGCAGCATAATTTACTAAGGTTTGCTGTAGTCAGTTTACTGGTATTTTCAGCATTAATTAACGCCCCAAAAAGCATGTCTTAATCCATTTTGCGCTTGGTAGATAGTGTTGGTCATTATGTAAATGATTGTGTTGGTCATTATGTAAATGAGCTGTGTCCTTTAATTAGCACATTGTCAATAGATCATCCGCAGAACTTTCGACTCCCATCAGTGCTTTTATGGGATTGCGGTCTCGCTAATTTGCCCTGTTTAGTAAATCTGGCCCTTTATTTCTTATGTCACTTGCCTCTCAAATAAAAATATCTTGCTTTAAAAGGTGTAGATATTTGTACTGGAAAACAAGACAAATACTGAGTAAGAAAATCTTTTTTCCAGTGTATCACCAAGCTGAGAACCACTGCACTGGAGCGACTACGATCACATCAGTGATGAATACACATGCTTTTACTTCCTCGCCCAGGGAACCGAGTGCAGTGGAGCATCAAGCCCAGGGTGGAGATCTTCTTCTGGAGTGAGATTAATGATCACATGCCCTCGTATATACACCTTTACTATCGCTGGCCATGACTAAGGACGGTCTCCAGACCTCTATTCCCTTCCCCTCGTCCTCTAACTTACCACAGAAGGCCTCCTGGAACTTCTTGGTGAGCTTCTCAATGAGGCTGTAGCTCTCCACGTAGTCCACGTGATCATCCAGAGGCTCGCTGGCCATTTGCCTGAGCGTGGTCATTTCCACACGGCCCACTCCGATGGCAAATATCTCAATGCCGGCCTCACGCGCCCTTACTGCAATGTCACGGATGTTGTCCTGGGGTCTGCCGTCAGTCACAATAATTGCCACCTGCAAATGTTTATCAATGCAATTTTTTAATAAAATGATCTAAAACTGGAGATATTCTTACATAATTGTAGATTCAGATGTTCGACTGGGCCTAATTCATCCATTGCGGTATTACGTAACGCAAGATGCATGTTGCCAAACAGGCTTAATGCTGTTAATGATGTGTTTTTTTTAGATTACTACACTCTTAAAAATCAAGGTTTCACAGCGATGCCATAGACTTTGCTTGATTGCTTGGTCCGAACCAAAGTGTAATAGCTTCCCTCTTCACATTAGCTGTGTCCCAGTTCAGAGGCTGCATCCTTCGAAGGCTGCTTTTGAAGACCGAATGCGTCACAGTGGCGCGACGAACGCTGTTCCAGTTCAACAGCCCCTTCAAATGCGGAGTTCACAGCCTAGCCTAACCCTAAATTCATTGCGTGGTGGTGACGAGTGGATTTCTTTTGGAGAAAAAGCCAGATAACACTGTAATTACAATGTACACTGTAAAAAAATTGCTGTAATTATGCAGCTGTTTGCCAGTAACTTACTGTAGATTTAAATTGATGTGTATTTACTGGCAACAGTTTGTTCAAAGTTAAATGAACATTAAACATTAACAAGTCTTTGTCTTTACAGAATAAAATTATAAAATAACAATCTAATGCAAAGCATTCTGGGAACCAGAAATCTTCATCAACCTTTTTCTGTTTTTTTCCTTCAGATTTTGGTTCCCAGAATGCTTTGCATGAGGCTGTTATTTTAGTTTTATTCTGTAAAGATAAAGACTTATTAATGTTTAATGTTCATTTAACTTTGAACAAACTGTTGCCAGTAAATAACATCAATTTAAAACTACAGTAAGTTACTGGCAAGCAGCTGCCAGTAATACTGTAATTTCTTATTACAGTGATTTTTTTTACAGTGTAAGTATTGGGTTTTTAACTTCCTCAACTAGGCCTAACGATACACATGTGGGGAAAATAAGAGGTTCAAATGTTGACATATCTTACTAAGATTTTATAGATAGGTCATACTTTTTATTATGTACCTAAATGGACCATGGTGAAGATATTGTTTGTGAACCCTGTATTGTTTTCAGACTTTTTTTTTTAACTTTTGGTTTTGTTTCCAATCAGCACGTAGCGGCACCATCTGCCGTGAATTAATTGCAAATGTTCTAAAGAACGTGAGAGTCCATTTCTGTTGAAGGTGAGATATACATTCTCTCTGCTTGCACTGCGTCAGTCACGCTAGTCAGGAAAGTGAGTGAGAACACACACAAACACACAGTCTTATCAAATCATACGTCGTCAGTAGCGGTTCACTTCCATGATTTAGTACGATTACATTCATATCAGCAGCAAATGGATTTTGGTGCTGTTCGCAGGTGCGCAACCGAGTTCGGAAAACAGTGTTCATATCATTTACGAACCAAACTCTGACTTCAATCGAACACAGGTGTGCACCAAAAGTCCTAGGCTGTGTCCGAAATCGCCCCTATACCCTTAAACAGGGCACTATTTGAGAGGACAGCCGTTTGTAGTGGTGGACGAAACATAGCAGACGTTTTTTGAGTGCACTCATTCAATCCCACAATGCACCGCAATAACGAGTGTACAACCGATGTACGCTCAACGGCTAGAGAATACCCATAATGCACTGTGAGAGTCGTGCCGAATGAATTACCACGTCTAACTAGAAGATGGCGCTGCAGCTGAATCATCCATACATCCATTTTCCAAACCGCTGGTCCGTGCCTCTCCTCTTTCGAAATGAGCGAGTCAACCGGGCGCGCGCATGTGGGCGGCTCCTGTAGCAGCAGGGGTGGTCGCCATGGTAGCGAGGGAGAGTGACAGTCGCCCAGCCAATCAAGAGTAGCTGTGTTTATTGCAGCCCTAGGACTACAGACACTCGATTTTTACACTCTCCTTTTCAGAGTACTTACATTTTAGATATGTACTGGTATATAAAGACAGTTTAAACAAATTTGGGAAAAAGTGTTTTAGAAACAAACTGCCTACCCTGCCTTTAAAGCACCCTTAGTGAAAAGTTCTTAAAAGAAACTTTTTTTTTCTTTTAAAAGAACCTTTTTCCAAACATAAAGAACCTTTTGTGCATTTGAAAGGTTCCATTGATGTCAAAGGTTCTTCATGGAACCATAGATCCCAATATTTATAAGCGTGTAGGACTCTGACCTTGCTGATGTCGGGGGATTTGCGCGCTCCCTCGGCTTCGCTGAAGGCCACGTTCATGGCGAACTGGATGGCCAGGCCTGTCATGGTCCCGCTGGACAGCGGCTCGATCTTGGACACGGCCTTGACAAGCGCAGCCTTGGTTTTGTGGGACTTCAGAGAGACCTCGTTCTTCACCCGACTGGCGTAGTTCACGACACCCACGCGAGTAGCATCAGCTCCGACGTTCAAACCGTCGATCACTTTGGTCAGGAAGACCTTGACCTGCTCAAACTCAGAGGGCCGGACACTTCGAGAGCTGTCGATGATGAACACTACATCAGTGGGCTTGGTGTTACACAAGCCTGCAGCTGGAAAGAGTGAAAGAACAGAGAGGGGATGTAAATATGTGAGATCGATCGAATTCAATATGTTTAGACCCCAGACACAAATGATTTACTTACAGTCACTATGACATTTTGCTATATATTTATTGATGATGGTAAAAAAAAAAGGCTCAATGGGTTTCTATATAGAACCCTATAGGGTTCTTGACTCAATTTGAAATGTTCTATATAAGGAGGAATGTCTTAAATGATTGCATAATATCTTCATTTTTAACTGGTTTTTCTTTTCTTTTTTTCTAGTGATAAAGTATGTTTATGAGCTGTTTAATTCATAACATTTCATCAAATGAATTAAAACTAAATTATTCAAATCTAAATCCATAATGACCACATGATGGGAACCCCTAAAAGGTTCTATATATGAAGCACCTGACAGAACACGCGAGGTACCATATACAACCGTGTCTTATTAAGATGGTGAATCTACTGTGGTAGAATATTTTCAAACTGATCTAACTTGAGGTATTTTTAGAAGAAATTAAAGGTCTAACAACCTGTGGGGACGGCGTCCCGTCTAAGAATACACTATAACTGCCTTAACACTTCCGAAGTGTTCAGTATGCTAAAATCTTTCCTTAGCTGTGCAGCATCAGTGACACCCCTCCTGATAAAATGAAGGTTTATTCACGACAACAGATAAACTCTCTGAACAGATTACACTCATTTATGCACATTTACTTCATTCTTGATCATTAAACACTGAGAGAGAATCATTTGACATTAACATGATGCATGCATGTAATGTGGAGATAATATTCCCTGTACGACCTCACTGGTTACAAACCCAATTGAATCACACGGTCTAAATATTAAAGTCACCCTGTAGTCAATCATTTTATCCCTTAAAACTCACCTTTGATCACCAAAATTACATATTTAAAAGTTTTTTCCTTTAAAAAAAAGTCTTCATGCCTTAAAATAGCTTGAATGTAATTATACACCCTTGCCTCATTTAAGTATATGCGGCTCGATGAATATGCAAATGAGCCCCGCCTCAACTCACTCACTCAGCTCAGAGATCCACTCGTTGACGATCACACGTTGATCAGGGGTGCGTTTCCCGAAAGCATCGTTAGCCAACTATGGTCGCAAGTTGGTCGCAAATCCCATTGAACTCTATTGGTAACGACGGAACTTGCGACCATAGTTGGCTAACGATGCTTTCGGGAAACGCACCCCTGATTGGTTACAAGATAGTTTGTGCCGTCAGAAACACCAGTGATTTCAAACCGTGCTTTTGAGACTGTCTTTGGTTCACTGCGGTTTTAAGGAGAAATACTGTAGTAAAATACTATAACAATGGCGTTGACTTATGAATTTGCACGTGGTTTGTCTTAAAGCACATTAAAAACACCACATAGACATATAAACAACATTAAAAGCTTGATTTTCACCACGGGGGGACTTTAAATCATGTAAGTGGTTAAACTCTCCTGCAAGGCCTACTATTTATTCAGAAGAGAAGTAGTTTACAGGACATTTCAACACTACTGACTTCAACACAAGCATGTTTTTTAACCATAAAGTAGGAATTGAGTAACATTTTATAGAAGGTAATCATTAAAACCATAGTACCATCAGTTTTCGTCTTCCTCAAATTACTTTCATAACACTTTTTTCGGGACTCTTGACGACTCAACATTTTATCAGAAAATACTGTCCCCTACATTTACTCTGAGGAGAGAGTGATTTTTCAGCATCATTACTCCAGTCTTCAGTGTCACATGATCCTTCAATGCTGATTTTATGCTCAAGAAACATTTCAGATTATTATCAATGTTGAAAAAAGTTGTGCTGCTTCATATTTTAGTGGAAACCGCGATACATTCTTACAGGATTCTTTGAGAAATAGAAAGTTCAAAAGAACAGCATTTGTTTCAAATAGAAATCTTTACATTAAAAATGTCTTTACTGTCATTTTTGATCAATTGAATGCCTTAAGTTTTTTTTTTTACTGTTTAACAGTGTACAAATTGGGGTGTGGGAAAGAAAGTGAGAGTGAAAAGCCAGACAGTCTGCATGTAGCTCAATAAATGTACAGTGTTTGCCGTTCTCATAATAACTCCCATTGATTATACATTCAGCCTCAGGTATGCATGCACGCGCAGATTTACACACACACACACACACACACTCACGCACAGGGCCTCTTTGTGTATAATGTAGACATTTTAAACCTTAAAAACACATTTTCCTTGAGGACATACAAGTTGTGTACAACCACTGGAAACATAACCCTAATCACCTACTTGATTAAAGCATCTCTCTTAGTTTTTAACACCTAGACCTGCGGAAATTAAACTAATAATTAAATACCAGGCGCAGCTTTAAAACAGAAAAGCACTGGAGGAGATAATGTAATTCTACAAATGAGAAAAAATGCTAGATGGAGAAAATGAAGGCTTCACAGTAAAGGTCACATATTTGCTTAACATTGAACTCTACCATCCAAACAGTTGTGCAAAACAAAAATATAGGCGAATATAGTGAATTTAAATACACTTTTAGCACCTCAGTCTTTCTACAGATGTGATAATGCTTGTGTCCACGCTTCTTAACCGGCTTAAACCAGCAAAACTACCTGGTTCAGCAAAAAAGCCAAAATAACTGAAGATGTTCAGTCTTGTTTACTGAAAAACTGTGCTTAAAATAAGATAGAATATCAATGATGTAAGAAAACTAATCTTGTTTTCCCTTTGAATTACTGTAAGTTTATTTTTCGGACCCCTCTGGCAGATATTTCTTTTATTATTCTAGGCTTACACTCACAAGAGTGAAAGACTTTACATCTTAAGTCATTTTGCTTCTCAAGTAAATGTGTCTTGATTTAAGATGAGCATTTTTTTTGGGATGAAGTCTGCTCTTCATTACAGCATTTAACCTAAAACATTAATCCTGTTGGCACCAGTGATAAATGAATGACATTGATGGACCTGTAAATGATGCTCTTTTCTTACCCATAGCAGCAGCATTTCTCAGATCCACGGTGGCTTGAGCTCCCAGGATGCATAGCAGCATCACAAACCCCGGCAACGTCATACTGTAATGCGGCGTGAGTCCTAATGACCTGCTCGACTACCAGAGACAGACTGACTCGCAGCGAGAGAAACGTGCAGGTTATCAACACACACATATTCACAGATACACACTTAAGTTTGGAGACCCGCCCTCAAATCCGTCTCCCCGAGGTGGACGAGCTGTTTTGGGAGGAGGGGGATACCTGTCCCGAAAAACCTAGAGTTTGGGTAGGAAAGACAAACACACCTTGATCTGTGTATGTGTTTGTATAAGAGAAGCCGGGTTCATTCGGAGCCCTAGGAGGGGTCTCTAACTTGAGGTTGAACTCAAATAAACATTAAGATGAATCTGTCTTTTCTGGGAACTTTTCCTCTCAAATTAATCTCACACACGCAGGAATTTATGCACAGGAATTATGTGGGAAGCCTCCGTTCCTGATCCAACACAGACGGCCCTGTTCGGACTGTGTACGTGTATGTCTGTGTTTTTCTACTATACACACCATGCCGTGTCTAGTGTGCCTGCTGGGAAATACGAGTATTGCACGTGAGCATGTGTGTCTGAGACCAAATTTAATAATATTGAGTGTGTTATGCCATTTCTAAAAGGTTTTTATTAGAGGTGCTGACCGCAAGCCAAACACAACATTATTAGGAGATATTGCAGTATTTATTATAAATTATTTATCTGTGCACATCATTATTTTTATTTTTATTTTTTTAAATGAATGTGTGCCTAGTAATCTTTATTCTTTAATCAAAATAACTTCCCCTCCCTCTTGCAGCATCTCTTCTCTGATGATGAGGGCGGGGCAACCTGTCACTCAAACGAGCCCTACATTTGTTCTTGTTTGAAAAGCCGTTTCACTCGATCGATATACATTACAATAAGAGAAGACTATCGCAATTTCTGTTTCGTGTTGACTTGACGCAATGATTTATTCATTATTTACTGTAACATGTCTTTCTGAACCTCTAAGCATGAAAGGAAAGGAAAATGAATAGTGACCACAACAATCAAGCTAGATTTATGGTGAACAACGACTTAAATTTCAGTCAGATATTGGATGGTTTGAGAAGGCTTGAAATTCAAAGCACAAATTGTTGACAGCTTTTATGTTTTTTTTTGTTGCCCTGCCACCATCCAATAAACCATTTTAGAAGAAAGCAGCTTGAAGATTCTGCTGAACATAACGTTTTTAGTTTTTGTTCCAGAGAATAAATGAGTTTTGAACGACATGAGGGTGAGAAACCCTTTAACGCTGCCTGTGAAGTACTCAGGAACACTCAGAAAATAATTCCCCGGTAGTCCTGTTTGTCTATGTAAATGAAGTGTGTGTGTGTTTGTTTATATATTGCATAACACAGCCATTAAGGTTTGTGAACACACACTGTTTCTCTCTGCCTCCTGCTTCCATCCATCCATCGCCAACCTGCCGGAAAAAGCCCTCCGTACCTGAAGTGTGCCAATGACTTTGACAAGAACATTAAAGATTCCTTATTTCTTGCACCATCTGTGGCACAGTACAGCTTACTGGAAAACAGCTTGTGCTTTTTTTTCTTTTTTAAATAGTCACTTTATAATTCTTTAAAAAAAATGATTCGCTATCGACCAAATTAAGTGGAAAATAAAGTATATATAACACTGTGAATTTTTTTTAAATATTTGTAATATTAATAAATATTTTAAATACTTTATTTACATTCCTGTTCAAAAGTCGATTTTTTGAAAAAAGCCTCTTCTGTTCACCAAGACTGCATTTATTGGATGAAAAATGCAGTAATATTGTGAACTATTATTACAATTTAAAATAACTTTTTTTTTAATCTGAATATATTTTAAAATGTAATTTATTCCTGTGATCAAAGCTGAATTTTCAGCATCATTACTCCAGTCTTCAGTGTCACATGATATTTCGTTTTTCTTTTATATATATTTTTTAAACAGTGTATATTTTGTCATGTATCATTGAGATTTTTTTGTTTGCATTTTTATAACATTATATCAAGCATTTCATATATTTGATAATATGAATTAAATATTCCCTCTACACATACAGCGGTAAAAAAAAAAAAAAAAATGCTTCACATTAGTTACTATCTGTATCTCATAATCATAAAATCCCCCAGACGTCACTAGTTTCTGACTCATGATGACCAGACAATAATGATGACAGAGGGGCATCACAGAAAATAAACTGCAAAAATGATTTTCTTACTTAGTATTTTGTCTTGTTTTCCAGTACAAATATCTAAACATTCTTAAATCAAGATGCATTTACTAGAGAAGCAAAAATGACTTAAGTCTTGTTTACGGAAAGAAATTATCAAAATCAAGTGAGTTTATGCTTTAGACAAGTATCAGTGAGGTCAGAAAAATAAACTTAATTCAAAAACAAGATTAACTTTCTGACCCCGCTGGCAGATATTTTATCTTGTCTAAAGCACAAACTCGCTTAATTTTGAATAATTTTTTTTTTTTTTTCAGGAAACAAGACTTAATATCTTGTCATTTTGCCTCTTAAAGGAGAACTCCAGTCAATTTTAACATTGAGCTCATTTTTTTGTACATTTGGAGTGCTGTCAGTACAGACAAAAACGACAAAAATCGGTGTTTCCTACACCGTGTTATCCTCTTTTTAAAATTCGCACCCTGTTGACTTTAATGGGGCAAGTTCTAAACCTGCTTTTAGCCTCTTAACATCCTTGATGTGTCATTACAAGTGCACAGCCATGTGAGTGGTGTTATTAAGAGTGACCACGGTCAACCAGTTACAAATGATCGCGCGCGCGAACTCGACAATCGACTACTGTGGACTTCGAACGAAAACAGGAAGTAAATACGGGTATGTGCGCTGGCTGAATTAACATCATTTTTATTAATATCTTTCACATTTACTGCAGTCAAATTGACCGTGGTCACTCTTAATAACACCACTCACATGGCTGTGCACTTGTAATGACACATCAAGGATGTTAAGAGGCTAAAAGCAGGTTTAGAACTTGCCCCATTGAAGTCAACAGGGTGCGAATTTTAAAAAGAGGATAACACGGTGTAGGTAACACCGATTTTTGTCGTTTTTGTCTGTACTGACAGCACTCCAAATGTACAAAAAAATGAGCTCAATGTTAAAATTGACCGAAGTTCTGTATTTTGATGTTATAATTTTTTGGTATTTTTACTGGAAAACAAGACAAAAATACCAAGCATCTTTTGCAGTGCATTTAAACCACAACCGGTACTGTTAAAACTGTCTTCCTTCACCGTGAACCAGTGAGGACACAATAATCAGAAACACATGAATTATTAATTAATTACCTTTATTGTGTGAAAGAAGGGATGCAAGCGTAGACGTGTCTGTTTATGTGCTGCTTCTGGTTGTTAGCATGCGTGTGAATATTTGTGATTATTGTGGTTTAACTCAAAAGGGTTTTTTGTTTTCGTTTTGCGTCATAAAGCCATGCAGGAAATACGTATGTGTATAGTTTCAGGGCTCTTGATAGGTCGGGGGTGTGTCTTCTGCTTTCATTTTGAGAGCCTCATCATAAGAAGGAAGCTTCACCTGTTGGTCAAAAACACAACAAATGCCGATTTGTTTTATTTGATCACGACAGTTTAAACTATTAAAAGAAGATCAGAATGGATTGGGTAGTGGCTTGGAATTGTATATTTATAATTTATTAGACAACAACATTACAACTGCTGTATCTTCTGACACCAAAAACAATCTGTACTATAAATGCACTTACTGTCACAGTATTTCCAGTGTCAACATGGATGGCAGAGACTCTTTTTTCCTTCATGGCGTAGAAACACTTCATTGACACCTGAAGAACGTACACCTACACAGAACACACACACACAGGGATACTAATAAAAGCCCAAACGCACAGAATGATTCTAAACATATAAATGAACACACAGCTATGCAGAAACCATCCAGAGGGCAGTTTAATTTCCCTCTACCTTCTCCTAAACCCTCCTCAGTCAGCAAGAGGCACAGAACACACGTTATGACTGGCTCTATACATCGCTTTTACACCTCAAACTCGCTTACTAGCAAAACAAGCGCTGGTTTAGACTGTACAATTCAGAGCAGCAGACAAAACAACAGTGTGTGTGAGTGTGTGTGTGTGTGTGTGTGTGTGTGTGTGTGTGTGAGTGAGTGAGTGTGAGTGAGTGCGTGAGTGAGTGAGTAAGTGAGAGTGAGTGAGTATGATTGTGTGTGTGTGTATGTGAGTGAGTGAGTGAGTATGTGTGAGTGTGTGAGTATGATTGTGTGTGTGTATGTGAGTGAGTGAGTATGAGTGTGAGTGCGTGTGTGAGTGTGTGTGTGAGTATGTGTGTGTATGAGTGAGTGAGAGTGAGTGAGTGAGTGCGTGAGTGAGAGTGAGTGTGTGAGTATGAGTGTGTGTGTGTGTCTGTGTGTGCGCGCGTGCGCACGTGTGTGTGTGTGTGTGTCTGAGTGTGAGTGTGTGTGTGTGTGAGTGAGTGCGTGAGTGAGTGAGTGTGAGTATGATTGATTGTGTGTGTGTGTATGTGAGTGAGTGAGTTTGTGTGTGTGTGTGTGTGTGTGTGTGAGTGTGTGAGTATGAGTGTGAGTGAGTGAGTGAGTGAGTGAGTGAGTGAGTGAGTGAGTGAGTGAGTGAGTGAGTGAGTGAGTGAGTGAGTGAGTGAGTGAGTGAGTGAGTGAGTGTGTGAGTATGTGCTTTTGTTTTTGTGATATATGAGGAAACAAATGTGTATAATGACATGCATATTACACTGGTATTACAACTTACACGTGATATATGAGGACATTACATGAGTCCTCATATTTCAAATAGCTTAAAAAACATAAAAAACAATGTGTTTTTTTTATGTAAAAATGCAGCATGTCTCCTGTGATGGGCAGGTTTAGGGATAGGGGCAGTGTAGGGGGATAGAATATACAGTTTGTCCAGTATAAAAGTCATTACGCCTATGGAATGTCCTCATATATCACAAAAACACAGCTGTGTGAGTGTATGTGTGTTTGTGAATAAAGTTGTGTTTGCATGAGTTTATTTTTAATAGAATGATGACATATCATATCTGTGTTTATGTGTATACAATGGCATTACATTTTTTTAAACAAATTATATTATCAGCATAAACAACCGTTAAATACTTTGTTTTTTTTATATAGTTACTTTAATTCAGCAAGTAAGCATTAAATTGATCAAAATTGACAATAAAGACATTTCAGTAAAGACTTTCCATAGACATAATGATTTTCATACTATACACATATATACCCTAACCATCGCAGAAAACTTGGCACTTTGCATTTTTACATTTTCAAAAAAACACAATTATCATTATAAGCAGTTTTCCTCATGGGGACCAAAAAATAAGAGAACATTTTGTCCTCTTAACAGGGTTTACCAGGACACACACATTCTCTCACACACGCGCACACATACACTCTCTCTCTCTCACACACACACACACACATGACTTATACCTTCAGCAGTATGTCCACCATAAAGAGCACACTGTACCACATGGTGAACTGGCCAATTTCCTCCTCATTCAACGCAGGGACTCTTCTCTGCTCTTTCTGTCAGGCACACACACACACACACACACACACACAAGTACACATTAATTGGGTAAAATTATGTTGAAATGAATAAGTCAGTATTCAGTTTTGTGTGTGCAGGAATGATTCTCACGACAGCTTTCAGCATGTCTCTGTAGCTGGGGGTCCCGGGAAGACCCCAGACTCCGTTAAACAGGGAGAGAAAACTCAGACTCAACTCCACCATCATCATCATCGAAAACGGAAGCACAAACATCGGGCCCTTATACACAGAAAGAGAAATGGTGAATCACACATTCAGTCATTCACATTCCCAAAACTGAGGGGAAAACGCTGTTTCCCTGTTATAGACTGATCAGGTTTGAAATGTGTAGTTTGGAGAGAACGCACGGATTCCGTGTTTCACCACCTTCATAAATATTGAGACAAGCTCTCTTTCTGGAAGCTGGATAAATAAGGTGCACACACACACACAGAACCATTTTGCTTATGCAAACTCACATGCATACACATTCAATAAAACAAAAACTGACTAGACTTATTCAAAATGTATCAACACAGAGCGTTTCATTACCAATTTAGTATGTATATTTGGCTTCGGTAGCACAGATTTATTATTGTTCTTGTAAACTCCCCGAGGAGAATGAGTTATTTTCCGGAATGAATATGGTGTGCGTTAAAACAGCACAGTATGATAATGGCATGAATATTTATGTTCAAGGAAATATTATAGCAAGTGAATGCTATAAGAAAAATAAAATAAGTGCAATATAATAACCTTTAGTAAGACGATCACCTTCAAAACTATTATCCTATTATTAATAAAAAAAAGTGGTTTACAAAAGGGTACTAGAAGATTTTAATCAAATATTTTTATTTAGCAAGGAAGCATTAAATTGATCAAAAGTGACTGAAGTAATGATGCTGAAAATTCAGCTTTGATCACAGGAATATATTACATTTTAAAATCTATTAAAATAGTGAACAGTTATTTTAAATTGTAATAATATTTCACAACAATATAGTTTTTGCTGTATTTTTGATCAAATAATTGCAGCCATGGTAAGCATGAAAGTCTTCTTTCAAAAATATTCATAAAAAAATCATACTGACCCCAAACCTTTAAACGATAGTGCATACATTTTGTTCCTGTTGAAATGTGATTTAGCATTGTATTTTATTATTAGTATGATTGGGTAGTAAGAAAGCAATTATTCGAGATGTACATTTTTAATCTTGACCTAAAATGGTATATGCACTTTGCTTATTTAATTGTATCATATGTAACAACCACTTGCAATTCACCTTTTTTCAGAAAAAAAATATTAACTTAACTCATATCTATGCATTTATTCATGCATTAATGTGTTCTAATGTATTTCATAATGCATCACTGTGTTTTTTCCCCCTCATAAACCGCATTTCCATGTATTGATGTTGCGAGTGCAGATGAAAGTCCAGCACACACACACACACACACCTTGCGTTGAGAGAAGAGCACCAGCACAGCAGAGATGGACATCAGGACCAGCATCAGAATGTTAGTGCTGATGTCAACTGGAAAACAGAGAGACAATATTAATGGCTTTCTATATTATTTCTATATTATTTATTGTTTTTTAGGTTATGCTAAAGGATTAATTAATATATGCAAAGTCTTATACCGAACAATGTTTGGTCAAGATGCAGCATTTAGGACTTTTTATATTGATTTCATGAAAAGCTTCAACTAATGCTGTTTTTATTGATATGACTGCACAATATATAATAATCACAATTTGTGATTCAGAATCTCATTAAAATCTTGAAATAAACAAATATCACACTACTGTTCAATAGCTTGGGGTCAGTAAGATTTTTTATTTTCCTTAAGAAGTGAGTACTTTTATTCAGCAAGGAAGCATCAAATTTATCAAAAGTGACAGTAAATACATTTATAATGTTACTAAATATTTCTATTTCAAACGCTTTTCATATTAACTTTCTATTTATCAAAGAATCTTGAAAAAAATGTATCATGGTTTCCTCAAAAAACCACTGATAATAATCAGAAATGTTTCTTGAGCAGCAAATCATCATATTAGAGTGATTTCTGAAGGATCATGTGACACTAAAGACTGGAGTAATGATGCTGAAAATTCAGCTTTGATCACAGGAATAAAATAAATTTTTACAATATATTACAATAGAAAACAGTTATTTTAAATTGTAATAATATTTCAATGTTTTTTACTGTATAACTGTATTTTTGATCAAATAATTGCAGACTTGGTGAGCATAAGATACTTCCCCCCCCCAAAAAACAATAAAAATTGAACAGTAGTGTAGACTTTAGAAATATTTCTGAAGATTGTGGTGATGTGAACTCTTGGGACAAAACAAATAAGAAATTATGAAATAAAAAAATGAGCAACACAATTTTACAGTGTCCTTGTTACACATTACATAACTACATGCAACTAAACCTAACCCTATAGTAAGTACATGTAGTTAATTATTGTTGCTCAGTACTTAAATGTATAATAACACTGTAACAAGGATACCTTAAAATCAAGTGTAACTGAAAGTAACTGTAACTGAAGTGAACTCACAGACACGATGGCCCTTGAGAGCCTTTGATTCATGATAGTAGACAGAATCTTCCGCTTTATCCCATGAAACCGTAAGAAAGATGCCCACCAGTTTCAGCATATTACCAATCTATAGAGACAACACACACACACACACACACACACACACACACAGAGGGGGTACAGATGAGATGAATGTGACAGAATGAATTCATAAAGGTAAACGTGTGTCTCAGTGTGTGTGTGTGTGTGTATTCTGGCAGCCGGTCTGTTTGGTCTCTCTCCTCCGAGCCAAAACCAACAGAACAAGTTACACAAGAACAGCGGTTCATTCAGAAAAACCTGTAAAAGTGTAAATTACATAACACAGACACAACCTCCTGCCTCAGATAGAAATGCTATGGACTTATTTAGATTTATTCCTAAACCGATTATCATGGTTATATAATGCGGTTTGTTTAAATATTCATAAAACGATCTAATTCAATTTGGAATATCGATTTCTCACACAATCCTTTTTAGATCAATACGTAAAAATGTCTATGCACGTTAGTTTCTCTGTCTATGCATCTAATCTATAGGTCGCTAAATAAATATCAGCTTCAGATAAAGAGATGGATAATGCTGTACGACAAACATTGTGTTAAAAAAGAAAGGTAAAACTTTATTTCGAGGATCCATTTTAGACATTCTACTAACTATAAGTAACTTTACAACTACATGTCAACTCGCTCTCATTAGAGTATTAGTAGACTGTTAGATTAGGGTAATAAATTGACATGTAGTTGCAAAGTAACTTCAGTAACACTTTACAATAAGGTTCATTAGTTAATGTATTAACTAACGTGAACTAACAATGAGCAAAACATTTGTTACAGTATTAATCTTTGTTAATGTTAGTTGAACAAACAATGAACAACTGTATTTTTATTATATTAGTTCACAGTGCAAGTAGAATTGTTCATTCGCTGCAAAAAATGCTTTTCTTACTTAGTATTTTTCTTGTTTCCAGTCCAAATATCTAACAATTCTTAAATCAAGATGCATTTTCTTAAGTAGAAAAATGACATAAGATATTAAGTCTTGTTTTCTGGGGAAATTAATCAAAATTAAGTGAGTTTTTGCTTAAAAACAAGCTAAATGATCTCCCAATGGGGTAAGAAAAATAATCTAGTTTCAAAAACTCACCTAATTTTGATTAATTCCCCGGAAAAACAGGACATAATATCTTATGGCATTTTACTCATCTTGTAAATACATCTTGATTTAAGAATTTTTTTAGATATTTGGACTGGAATCAAGACAAAAATAGTAAGTAAGAAAAGCATTTTTGCAGTGTTCTTAGTAACTAATGAACCTTATTGTAAAGCGTTACTGTTACTTCTAGTCAGTATAATGTTTTTTGGGGAGCATCAAAATAATGTGTCAGCACTTATTAAGCAGACAGTCTACTAATACTCTAATGAGAGCTGGTTGGTTAACATGTAGTTGCAAAGTTACTTGTAGTTATTAGAATATCTAAAGTGGACTATCGATATAAAGTGTCACCAAAAGAAGTCGATATTGAATCTGTGGCTCAGGAACTGACTGTGACTTCAAAATGGAGCCAGCTTCCTCTATCTGCACTAATATGTGCGTGCATTGAACAAATGACAAATAACAGCAACAAAATGGCCATGCTCTTACCAGAGTACAAAACCTTATATACTTTAGTGACTTTGAAAGTCCCTTGAACTAATACTGCAAGTGGATTAAAGCACTGTTTTATTGTAACTATATAAACACACACTGTACGCAGCATCTAATGGTGGGTGTATGAAGCTGTTTTACCAGATATATGATGGCAAACGAGAGGGTCGCCGTGTTGACATGGCAGCAGAGAGTCCGTGTTCCAGACATCTTTCTCTCCGTCTCTTTCTCAATGAGAACAAGCGAGCTGAAACACTCAGAAACACACACGTAAATCCACCCTGCGTCTACTGATGCTCATGCAAGTTCCTGTGTGGTGGTCAGGGCTTCCTGTGCACTTTCCGAGAACTTCGTCAATTATTTTTGCTATCATCTTAGGCTTATTTTAGTGATTTTTATCACGAGTTCTACCATGAGAATCTACATTTTAAGTTCTGTAGAAGGATGCATCACTTTTGTGGTGCACAACCGCATTTAAAGATGAGTTTAAACATTGATCATGGGAAATAACTAACATATTTATGGCCAAACACAACATTAGGCAACTACAGTAATTACCTAAACAAGCTTATTTCTTTGACACTTTGAGTAACTCAAAGTTAGTAGCTTTCTGAGTAACTGTGCAAATCTAAGACACAGAAAAAATAAATACATAGTAACACTTTATTTTGATAGTCCACTTTAGACTACTGACTAGAAGTAACTTTGCAACTACATGTCAACTAACTTTCATTAATTTGCAACTACATGTCAACTAACTCTTTATTAGAGTATTAGTAGACTGATAGGTTAGGGTTAGAATGTATGAAGCTGACTATCGAAACAAAGTGTTACCAAATAAATAACTGGTACTCCAGTAAATTGTAATTTAATTTAGCATTAATGGTATTTAAATGTATTTTTGCATGAACCAGCCTTTTAACAATTACTCATAAATTAAATGATTGGAAATGCAAACTTCGGTCATGTTAAGTGAGGAATTCATAAGTATTAAGAGGTCAGACTAAAAACAAACATGCCACAGGCGTTTACTTTTATCTCACTATATCTGAAAGCAACAGGAAGTGGAAGGGAACTAGAGCATGCATTTGCGTATGTGTGATGGTTATATTAACACTGCGTAAGAGCAGGCTGTGGTGTAATGATCATGCAGTGTTTCTGGCATCTTCTCAATGGTTCTGTGTACAAAAAATATATCCTGGCCTTATTCAATCGCACCTGAGCGGAGCGGAGTAAATCTATGGAGAAAGAGAAGAAAAAGTATGGTGAGGTGAGGAGGTCAGAGGAGGACTGAATTATAAAAAAAAACTTTTAAAAAGGCCTCAGAAGTGTGTTGTAGAGGAGTGTACAGGTCTGAGATCAGTGCGCTTGTAAAACAGCGTCCCCTTGTGGCCATTTCTAGTCTCTTCTACAGGTGCTCTCACGCTTTAACCCTCAATCTCTGGCTGCGTCTGAAATCGCATACTTCCTTACTGAATAGTAGGCCAAACATAAAGGGCCTGAAAACGTCCTATACATCACTGCGTGTGCATATGCCTGATTCCTGTTCACTAGTCCACTAAATCTTGTGCACATACATAATAACCAACACAGCAAAACATCAGAGAAAGAGCATTTTAATAGCCCTTGCACACCACAGCAAAAACAGAAGACGAACATATAAAGAAATGAAAATACTGTCAGTGGATCTTCTCAGTCAGCGCCCTGAAACACAACACAGACGTGTATCAGTAATATCAGCCACAGACACACATGAAGCATCTAAACAGAACTTTGCAAAAAGAAAACAGAAACCATTGTAAAATATATATTCATGTATCAAGACTCATTTAAACTGTATGATAAAATAGTATGTGGTATTATTTAGCATTAAATTAACGATTTAATTATTCATAATTATATATATATATATATATATATATGATTTAATTAATAATTATAATATATATATTTAATTATTAATTAAATCATATATATATATATATATATATATATATATATATATATAGTTTTAGTTTTATTAATATTTTGGATTGATTTTTATCTGTATATTTTCAGAAAATTTGTAGTGGCTTTGTCATTTTTATTAAATATATATTTTTTAAACATCTAGTTTTTTTTAATTAATTTTTATTCCAGCTTTAGTTATTTTAGTAAAAGTTAAACTAAATGTAAATGAGAAATGTTGCCTTGACAACTACCCAAATTTGTTTCCACTATATCTTATCTTTTTTTTAAATTACTAATTAACTTCACTTACTTTTAACATTTATTTTATTTCAAGTAACAAAAATGGTTATAGTTTTAGTTAACTATAATAATCCTGATTCAACACAAACCCTTTGCAAGGAGAGATGAAATGCTTTTTTTACTAAATGATATGAACTATTGTATGAACTATGTTTTCATGTCTTTAGATTTGTTTTGCACTAAAATGTCTCCACAGACCCTCCAGCGTCCCCTGACCCCAGTTTTCAAAAATGTTAACGACTCATACTGTTCTATAGTCAATTATAAAACACAAAATATACAGACTCTACATTCAAATAGCTCAACACATCACCTGCTGTTAAAAGTTGATTGGTGAGAAATCGCAGTGAAAGGTAGGCTCCGCCTCGCTGCCTCTGATTGGCTGACTGGTCTCCTCAGACTCCACCTTGACATTGGGCAGCAGGGGGTCAGCGGTGGGTTTGGGAAGACTGGGCTGTGCCGGCGCTCCCTGGAGCTGAACGTAGTGCTGTTGGGGCAGGAGTTGAGTGTACTGACTCTCGTGACCCTGTGATGATAACTGTGGCCGAAACACCGCCTGTGTGTACGGACCCGGCTGACTATACATGTCAGTAGTCCAAGGGTAGGCCTGAAATGCTTCATAGAAACATGCAAGTTAACATTTTAAAGGGATAGTTCACCCAAAAAGGAAAATTAGCCCGTGATTTACTCACCCTCAAGTTATCCTAGGTGTATATGACATTCTTCTTTCAGACGAATACAATCGGAGTTATATTAAAAAATGTCCTGGCTCTTCCAAGCTTTATAATGGCAGTGAATGGCTGTTTCTGTTTTGAAGTCCATAAAAGTGCATTTATCCATGATAAAAGTGCATCTATCCATGATTAAAGTGCACTTTTATCATGGATAGATGCACTTTAATCATGGATAAATGGACTTTTATCATGGATAGATCCACTTTAATCATGGATAAATGCACTTTAATCATGGATAGATGCACTTTTATTATGGATAGATGCACTTTAATCATGGATAAATGCACTTTAATCATGGATGGATGCACTTTTATCATGGATAGATGCACTTTAATCATGGATAGATGCACTTTAATCATGGATAAATGCACTTTTATCATGGATAAATGCACTTTTATCATGGATAAATGGACTTTTATCATGGATAGATCCACTTTAATCATGGATAAATGCACTTTAATCATGGATAGATGCACTTTAATCATGGATAAATGGACTTTTATCATGGATAGATCCACTTTAATCATGGATAAATGCACTTTAATCATGGATAGATGCACTTTAATCATGGATAGATGCACTTTAATCATGGATAGATGCACTTTTATTATGGATAGATGCACTTTAATTATGGATAAATGCACTTTTATCATGGATGGATGCACTTTAATCATGGATAGATGCACTGTTATCATGGATAAATGCACTTTTATCATGGATCGATGCACTTTTATTATGGATAGATGCACTTTAATCATGGATAAATGCACTTTTATCATGGATAGATGCACTTTTATCATGGATAGATGCACTTTAATCATGGATAGATGCACATTTATCATGAATGGATGGACTTCAAAACAGAAACGGCCATTCACTGCCATTATAAAGCTTAGAAGAGCCAGGACATTTTTTTATATAACTCCGAATGTATTCGTCTAGAATGTCACATACACCAAGGATGACTTGAGGGTGAGTAAATCATGGGCTAGTTTTCATTTTTGGGTGAACTATCCCTTTAAAGACGGGTGTAACAGTGGACTTACCATGAACTCCTGACTGGAGCAGCATCTGGTTGCTGGTTTGAGAATGGAGATACGCATGTCCACTGCTGGTGTACGCGGGGAGTGTGTTGTTGGTGAGGGGCAGATACGGGGCGCTGCTGCTCTCGGTAGGGTTCGGCGTGAGGTAAGGAGAGGGCGTGAGGTACGACAGGTGGGAGTACTGGGGCAACAGTGTGCTAGACTGTTGGGGCATAAGACAACTAGTTTGTTGAGGTAACAGAGTGTTTGTTTGCTGAGAGAGGAAACTGTTAGTCTGCTGAGTTAACAAGGTGTTAGACTGTTGAGAAAATGTGTTGAGCTGGTAATTTAAAGTGCTGTTCTGTGAAGCAGAAGTCATGAAGTCCATCTTCACAGAGGTGCCCATGCCTTCATAATCAAACCTGTGAACAGCAGAAACACATCTGAGGATCAAAATCATGTGACATTAAAAGATTTGATTGTTTTGAACATAAAGGTGGTATTTCCAACCATCGATACTGTTGGGCCAGCGACAAAGCAACCATAATGCATTCATGTTAACGAGAGCTGGTGGTTTGCAGAAACATGATGTGGGCGTGTCCAGTGACTCAGAGTTTAGAAATGTTTTACTTCATGCAAACAAGCAGTGTGGGGACAACCAATAGGAACGAAGACAGTGGAGCACATGTGATAAGTCTCCTGATGTCAATCGTAATAATAATGAATAAACCTAACTCATTTAAATTAATAATGATAAATAATCAATATTACTAAATATTATTACTATAAATAATGAATACAACCTTAACTCCTAACCTTAATTCTATACATTTAGATGTATAGAATTACGTTTTATACATTTGGCATGATGTGTGGAAAGTGGAAACCTATGTCAAAATATTGTCACTAATCTGAATAGGTTTGATTTATGCATTAATAATTCTATTTTGTTCATTATATGATATGTTTTACAGGCAAACACTTTTTCTGTAAGAATGCTGCAAGAAAACTGATATATACCAACAATACAATGCAAGAGTTTTAAAAAAAATGTTTTTTAAGTCTCATACTCACCAAGGCTGCATTTATTTGACGAATATAAATAAATAAATACAGCTAATAATAATTAGTAAGTCACTTTAGATAAAAGCATCTGCAAAATGATTAATTGTAAATGTAAATAAATGTAAGCAAAACAGTAATATTGTGAAATATTATTACAATTTAAAATAACAGTTTTCTATTTTAATATATTTTAAAGTGTAATTTATTCCTGTGATCAAAGCTGAATTTTCAGCATCATTACTCCAGTCTTCAGTGTCACATGATCCTTCAGAAATCATTCTAATATGATGATTTGCTGCTCAACAAACATTTCTTATTATTATCATATAAGTTGAAAACAGTTGTGCTGCTTCATATTTTCGTGGAAACTGTGATGCATTTCAGGATTCTATGATGAGTAGAAAGTGCGAAAGAACATAATTTATTTGAAATATGAATCTTTTGTAACATTATAAATAACTTAACTATCACTTTTGTTCAATTAAATGCAATTTTTTTTTATAAAATTAAAATTGTGATCAGATTTTCAACAGCTATGGCCAGTTGTGCAGACTACCAATAATATAAGACATTAAGCAGCAGGAACACCTGTAGTACAGACCCCCACTTCTAAAATATCAATATATAAAATACCATATAGCGACACCTAGTGTTTAACAACGGTACTGCATGGGATGAGTAACCTAGTTCATACTAACCCTGTGTCAGTCTGTAAACTCAGCGGTGTTGTGTCAGCGGAGCTGGGCTCACTGTGTTCAGGTGTGTCCAGCAGAAGGGACACGGTGTGTGTGGAAGGGTTGTATGCCGTGATGAGAGGCAAGGAGGCTCGTCGTATCGGAGGAGGACTGTGCATGGGAGGGGGCATGTACTCCAGAAAACCTCCTTGAGACACACAAGGTGCCACATCAACACAAGCTGGACCTGATGCACACAGAATATTGCATTTGCACAAAAAACAGGGGTTACGATTTATTTTGATAGTCCAGTTTAGACATTCTACAAACTTTGCAACTACATGTCAACTCGCTCTCATTAGAGTATTAGTAGACTGTTAGGTTAGGGTTAGTAGAATAAATTGACATGTAGTTGCAAAGTTACTTCTAGTCAGTATAACGTCTGTTGGGGAGCATCAGAATAAAGTGTCAGCACTTATTAAGCAGACAGTCTACTAATACTCTAATGACTGCTGGTTGACATGTAGTTGCAAAGTTACTTATAGTTAGTAGAATGTCTAAAGTGGACTATCAAAAGTGTTACCAAAACCGGCGCCCATGTTTTGAATGTGCAGGCATTTCTGATTAGCTATAATTAAATAGCTTGTTAAGTCCTATTGTGCAGTTTAACTAAACAGTTTAAGTCCTAATGCATAATTAAGTTAAACAGTCAAGTCCTAATAGATAGGTTTAGGTGTATGTGTGAGTGTGTGACCTGGTGGACTGGTGCGGCTGGTCCGGATGGTACTGTAGGGGGGGAGTGTGTTCCCAGGCTTGGGATTTTGAGATGCAACAGAAGGAGCTGTGAAAATTGGTGGCCTGCACACAAATGAATTATACAATCGAGTATATGCAGTGCTTGAAGTGGTGGAAAAAAGGTGCCGGTACTCTCTTGCATTGGCAAATCATGACATTTTAAATTTCTACAGTGAAAAACTAAACTTGGAAATATTGCTGGTACAACAACAATTTATTGTTATTTATTAACAACACAAATGTGCGTGTGTGCGCGCATTTATTTACAAAGAAACATTCTCTTTTTAGAAGTTGGTCATTAATAAACTTGATTCTTGAAGTTTGTTAAGATGGGAGGTAAGCTATACAACAATTGCATGTAAATGGTAAACAACAAAAACAACCTAGTAAACAGCTCTGATATTGTCTTTTCAGTCATATGTTTACAAGACAGCAAACATTTAAAAAAAAGTAAACTCGGGTTTGATTTGGGCATGTACCTGTCTGTGTAGGCTATTACATAAACTAAAAGAAAGCTTATATTCTGACTAGTTTGCTCGTTTTATTTATTAATAAAACATATAGTTTTTTTACCCAAACTGAATAATTAAGACAAGTTTAAATGGCTAAATCTTGTATAAATTGTATAAAGTCTTCATTTTCTTTTCTGACGTATAGGCTAGCCTACTCCAGTTCTTGTTAAAACACACTAGACATGCAAATTCTGTGCATTTTGGGCACTTTTTGTGTGAAATCATATTTATTTTCTCCATCAAAAGTGTGCTTAGCTTTCACTTTAAATGTTGTGAGTATAGCACAACAATAGATCGGCGCCGAACCCCCGCTTCACTGCTGCTCACGCGACGCTCCTCCTCGCGGTGTGAATGCACTCATTGATTAAAGAGCATATTGCAGGTAAAAAAAAAATCTAAATTAATATATAACCTTGTATGAAAATACCATATGAAAAGGTAATGCAGGATTTAAAATGTTTTAAAACGACATAAGGGCACTAATTTAGTAGATAAAGGTGAGCGTTTCTTGGACTGCTCGTAAAAACGGCTTTTTTTCAACATCGCGTCATTTTACGTCACGCTAGGGAGCATCAGCCTCGCCTCAGTGCAGAGTAGGCTGGCATTCAGTGAGAGCGGCCGTGAGTCAGTGTGTTTTCGGTAGTTTTTGTATTTCAATCTATCATCGTCATGGTAAATTATTGTGTTTGTGGAGGTTGCAAAAACTCCGGCCTGTCAGGACATCGAGTCCACAGGTTTCCATAACAAGAAAAAGGACGGTGTATCTGTATATCTTTCGTGCCTGGTGCGGTTTGTGCAGGTGAAGAGACGGGATTTCTCTTCCGCATCGGCTTCGAGAAACGCGGTCGTGTGTAGCGTTCACTTCAGATCGTGTGTAGCGTTCACTTCAGATCGTGTGTAGCGCTCACTTCAGATCGGAGGATTAGGCTATCATCCCGGCGATATGATGGAGTTTAACATGGGATGCCGAAGCAAGAATATTGATCGTCGTATACTGTACCAATGGCATCAAATAGTGTGATATAGGTAGTCATGCCCTAAATAGAGGCAACTTGTAATTGAAAAACAAAATTACTAGGTTGATTAAATATTCAAATCTTTAGTTTTCTGTTTATGTTATAACCCAGATGAAAAATATGTTTTAAAAATGTACTTGAGTATGTTTTTAGTAACTTACAATAGAAATATACTCAAGTATAGTTTTTATACATTTAATAGTATACATCTACCCTAAACATACTAATGTCTGCTGGCCTGATATACGATGGTAATAATCTACAATATTGTGAGCACAGTGTATCGTTAGCGAACGTGTATCTATAAGCACGTCTCTCACCAAGACACCTGTCCTGTTCTCCACTGGTTCTCCTCACACCACAACTCAATGTGTCTCTGACCGTTCTGTCTAACATTAATCCTGGCCTGTCCCTACTCTCTCGGCAGCATAGCAGGCTCATAATTGTATGGCTGTAGTCCGTCATACGAGTAAGTATTTCCTCAGCGTCCGAAATGTCATTGCGATCCATTGTTTTCCTGTTGTTTGAATCGACCGCTCTCCCGCCCGTTACGTCACGCCCGCCACACCCATTTTCAGACGCGGAAGTAAAATTTTCTCACAAAAACGACTCCAGAAGCTTCTGTAGCGTATTTATAAGAATATTTTAAAGAATATCTAGTCCCTACATTATTTTTCTATACATTGACTCGTTGGGTCCTCTAACCTGCAATATGCCCTTTAACATGCAAGCCGAAAAAAATACACGCTGCTCACGCTTCCGGTGGCCACGATCAGCTCCGGTAGCCGTTTCGCAGTCGTAACGCGCCGCAGATGTGTGCAGTGTAAATAAGGGGTTAAACGGCCATCACGCTTTTTCTGTCAGTAGAGTACCACATGCGAGAAGTAGCGGTACGCAAGAAAAAGTGCAGGTACGCTTAAGAGTAAAATGTAGAAGTGCCGGTACTGTGTACCGGTGAGTACCGCCCCACTTCGAGCACTGAGTATATGCATTACATCACACAATATGTCGGCTGCATTGCGTAAACACTAACCTGTTGACCTGGACACAGGTTTGACCCCGACTAGCAGAAGGCTTTTTTGTTGTGGTTTTCGACGTTTTTCTCCATTTGGCTCGACGGTTCTGAAACCACACCTGATGGGAGGATCAGAGTATAATTGTCACTTCCATGTATTTTGATGAATTGAAACACAGATTAATGTGAGAAGGGGCTTGATGTCTTAAGGAATGGATGCCTGTGGGCAGTGACCATGATTCTCTGGGGCGTAACACCGATGGCGGCCGCAATCTCCTTTCTCTTGTCTCCATCAGGGTAGTGATCGTCCTGAAATACACGCTCCAGCTCCTCCAGCTGATCTACACACACACACACACACACACACAAAGATGTTGGTACACCTATTTTTATGAAGACATTCCATTGGTGTAATGGTTTTTATACTGAGCTAATGACATTTTCTAGCACCTACCCCTAAACCTACCCATCACCCATTTTTTTTTGTATGATTATTTAGCGGTTTGAATTAAAGAACATGTCCTCATAATGACTGGGACTTGGCCTGAAACCTGAACACACACTACAATATAAGGGGCTTTGAGTCCTCATAATGTCAATAGCTTAACACACACACACATACACTGCCTGGCCAACAAATAAAAGTTGCTGTTTGGATTTAAAAAGGCAAATGCTTAAGAGTCTATGACTTTATCATTATTGCAGTGATTATTATGTTTCTAGCATGTTATATGTTTGCCAACAGTTCTTCTAACCCTAATTGATGCAGTGTGTAGCTTTTCATTTTGTAAACAACCCTGTAGGAAGACACATCATGGCCATATTCCAGCATGATTCAAGATTCATCAGGCTCAAACTGTGTAAGAATGGTTGGGAAGAGCACAAAGAATAACTTTCACACATGAATTGTCACATGGGATGTACTGGAGGAGACTTTACAGAGTGCTGGACTCTTGCATCATCAATACAAGATCTTGCCAAAAATGTATGCACCTCTTGATAGAAATAAATGCTGTGATGTTATTTCCATTAAGAGGTGCATTCATTTCTGGTCAAGATCTTCTACACACTCCATCAATTATGGTTAGAAGAACCTGTTGGCAAACATATAACATGCTAGAAACATAATAATCACTGCAATAACGATCCAATCATAGACTCTTAAGCATTTGCATATTTCATTCCAAACAGCAACTTATTTTGGCCGGGCAGCATATATAATATATATACACTACCGTTCAAAAGTTTGGGGTCAGTGAGAATTTAATTTTTATTTTTTGGAGGAAAGAAATTAATACTTTTATTTATCAAGGAATAATTAATTTGATCGAAAGTGACAGTAAAGACATTTATAATGTTACAAAAGATTCTAACCCTAACCCTATTCATCAAAGAATCCTAAAAAAAAACTGTACAACTGACAGACCAACAACTGTTTCAACATTGATAATAATAATAAATGTTTCTTGAGCATCAAATCCTCATATTATACTGATTTGTGAAGGATCATTTGACACTGAAGACACTGACACTGGTGATGCTGAAAATTCAGCTTTGATCACAGGAATAAATTACACTTCACTATATATTCACACAGAAAACAGCTGATTTACACTGGAATAATATTTAATACTATAACTGATTTTTGTTGTATTTTTAATCAAATAAGCGCAGCCATGGTTAGCAGAAGAGAATTATTTTAAAAGTATTTAAAATCGTACCGACCCCAAACTTTTGAACGGTAGTGTATATACACACACAATATATTTATACACACACATATTTATACATATATAAAAAATCACATCTGTAAAGTGCAAGTTTTCTTCCATGAAACACAAATGAAGATGTTTTTGTCCATACATTGAAAGTCAATGGGGTCCAAAACAAGACTGGACAGGATAGTACGGACAGCAAAACACTACGATTTTTCAAAATATCCTCTTTTGTGATTCATACAGGTCTGGAATGACATGAAGGCGAGTAAATGATGACAGAATTTGTAACTTTTCTCAGGTGAACTACCCTTTTAACATGTACGTTCTCTCACCTGTGCTGTAGAAGGTGCGTGTTTTCTTCTTCGGAGGCATTAGAGGGACATCAGTGCTGATGGGGGGTAAAGCCTGAGTGCTGGTTTCTCCTCCGACGGAGGCCAGAGGCATAGGAGCCGCTCTGCTGGCGAAGCGTGTGTATTGGCGAGTGGTGTACACCTGTCGTAGCGTCACCTCCAGGGGCCTCATGGCCTGGGGGTCGACAGCAGGGCTGCTTCCATAGGGCCGTTTGCCCAAACACTGGGGCTCCACCTGGGCCTGTGCTGGGACCGGAGCTGGAAGTAGAGGATGGGGCTGAAAGGGGAGTATTGTGGGATTCTGAGGTGGTAGCGTGATAGATAATGGTCTCGGTGGGGATTTTATAGGGGCCTGCTGGGAGAAATCTGAAGACTTGGGGGGGCACAACGAAAGGTCTTCATTCATACATCTCGGCTGATCACACACCATCACCAGGTCTATGGTGCAATCGGGGCCCATCTGCAAAATACAGTCGTCCTCTAGAGGAGGCACCGGCAAGTCGCTTGCCTCTTCGTCGTCATCCTCATCATCTGTCTTTATTTCATCATCTTTTAAACCGAACACACTGTCCTGCTCTTCTTCTTTAGATTGTCCATCTGATTCAGCATTATCTTCTTTCTTGTTTTGCTCTTCTTCTGTGCTTTTCTGCTTGGTGTCTTCAGTTTCGATTGCTTCTGTTTTATTTTCTTCCTCTTTCGCCTCTGTTTTCCTTTCTTCAGGTTCTTGAACTACAGTCCAGTTCTCCTCAGCTATTTCCTCTGGTTTCACCTCAGAGTCCCTCTGTGACTCCTCGTCTTCCACCTCTTCTGCATCATTTTTTATTTCGCTCTCATTCTCTTGCTCTGTGTTTCTGTATCTGCAATACCCTATCTGCTCATCTTCTTCACACAGAGGACATGGACCATCTATAAACATGACATGGCAAGAAAAAGACAATTATAAGACAAAGTGACACTAACCAGCAATCTTGAAATGAAAGGAATCTACTCTAATTCAGAACTGATTGGTAACCGTTCTGGTTACCATTGACTTTCATTGTATGAAAAAAGAGACATTCTCAACATATCTTCTATGTTCCACAGAAGAAAATCAAACAGGTTTAGATTAACGTGATGTGAGAAAATAATGACAGAATTTTTCTTTTTGGATGAACTATTCCTTTAACTTCGAGACATGGCACAAAAAAGAAACTGTTTTAATTTTACATTAACTTAACAGTTCAAAGTTCTTTGTGCGTTAAAGTTCAAAGCACGTGGAAAAAAACTAGTAACAATGTACGTGCGTGTGCGTGTGTGTAACAATAAAAATGTTATTGCCGGATATTTATCATCCAGTTAAAAGTTATAAACATTACTTTATGCTGACGTGTTAAAAGTGACGTTTTCTCACGTGCTTGTTTATCACTAATTAGAGATTAAATTGAACCTCCGCCCTGAGTATCAAACCATTAGACCTTTTATCCGTTTAGAAATGATACCAATTAGACAATTATCGGTGTCAAAAACAATGAGTCAATTTAGCTCATTTACATCAAATCACCCACCGTAATCACTGACAAACAAGGCTTCTTCGGCCATCGTGATGCCCACGCGCACTGGCCTGTTTCTGTAAATTAGATATTAAAGTGAAGCACACTTGATTGATAACCTGCAGACGCTGCTCACGTTACATCACGTGACGTGACATGCACAGGAGGCGTGTTTCAATATCTGGTTCAGTGTGTGTGTGTGTGTGTGTGTGTGTGTAGGTGCGCTTTACCTCCATCGTAATGCCTGATATGGTTTGTTTGACTATAATTTTTATTAGAAATTAATGAGAGCAACAACAAAAGTCTACTCATTTTAAATTAATTGTTGACTCATCTGACCTTTTTTTTTTTGTCGTAAAATGACAATGTATCGGTCAATCTTAATTTCATTCTGGAGCATTTTGCTAGCTTTTTATGTTGGCTAAAAAGGGTTCTGTTCAAAAGATAAAAGTCTAGATTTCATAAGCTAAAAGTAGTGCTGCATCCGAAATCGGATAAGGTGTATAGGTACTACATTTGGTTTGAAACGTACATTGTGAGCAATGCATTAATGTATGTTATAGGTTCTACATACTACATCCACCATGTTGTCATTATCATGTGACCTACCAGTGTCAGTTGCGTCGCTCACCACCATTCACATAATCCTCTCCCATGGCCTCATGGGATAGTAAAGTGTCCATTGTATGCACACTTCAGAATCTCGGCAGAAGTAGTAGGTCATCCTGGTACTTTTAGCCTATTGTTTTTCAAATTCTACTTTTTATTTTTATATTTCTCATTTTAATGAGTCATTTGAATTTGGACATACTTCTTTTGACACATACTGTTTTTCACCTTCTATATAGAGAAGTGTGATTTTTTGGATGCAGCCCATATGTCACATGACAATGCCATCATGTCGAATGTAGTATATCTGGATTACATTCATACTATACAGAATCCGTTTTTTTTTTTTTTGCGGTTGCAAAGTAATTTTTCTAAATAAGTACCTACTCGAGTGAGTATGCGGTTTCGGAAGCCGTCATTAGGTGTGTTTGACTTGAAGCGGCGCTGCGCAGACCGATCGGTGTGTGACATCAAAGTACAGCAAGAGTGATTCATTCTGTATGCTTTCGAATCGCTCTCGCAGTACTTTGATGTCATACACCGATCGGTCTGTGCAGCGCCGCTTCAAATCGAACACCTATTGTAATGCCTGCTACAGGTAGTGCGATTTCGGGGGGGAAACCTATAAGATCATTACAAATTACACTAGCCTATACGACATATATCTAGTAAACTTGGGAGCGACATGTATGTAGACTGTACGATGATGACATCTATTGAATCGTAGGCTACGACGCAAGTTAGCATTGAAGAATAAAATCAGCATGTAAACAAATAGAGCAAGATGTTTTTAATGTGTGCTGAAAAAAGAGGAGAATATGGATGCGGTCAAGGCTTGGGAAAAGAGCATTACCAATTTTGTAAATTGAGCTTGAGGTCAGTATTTTAAAATTTTAGCGCCATGTCGTGTTGATCAATACGCCATTTCATGTTGCATTTTTACTGGCTAGGTCGTCGCACCAAAAACACTGAGATGATCATGCTAAATTTCTGATACTGTCAGATAATGATTGTAGACTATCTTTGGTCGCAAGACCGTGACAACGGCCATCTTTAAACCTCTCTAACCTACGTTAACCTCTTTAAACGTAGCACCGTTTAGGAGCCACGACCACAGAAATCGTCACGATTGGTCATCTTTCGTCTGGGGCAGCCCGAAATCGTACAATGTGTACCGGGCATTAGGTGCAGAATTCTGAGCACTTAGTACAGTTACAGTAAGAGTAGTATGTTATTCCAAGCGTAAGCAACTTCAGGGTTTTAACCAATTAAATCACAGCAGCTACAGAGATAACCAATCAGGTTTTATTTTGAATAGAGTGGCATATTAGTGACAGAACTTTGCCTCTTTATACACAAATCAACCAATGAGGAAAAAAAGAAAAAACAAAGAAAAAACAAAAGTTCTTTTAAAAAAATGTGCATGTATAAAACCACGCTGGGCGACCATCAGACCAGGACCATGCTGGTCTGTGATTGGCACACAGACACAGGAAGGCCCGCCTCATATTTGGCTATGAATAGAAAGAGTTACCGGTAGAAATGAGTAGAAAAGACAGCAATGCAAACTCAAAGTTCCACTGACATCCACAACATGAACACACAGTGAGCTCCAGGCGTTCTGGAACGGACAGGTGGATGTTTGTTGTTGGGAGGTGGGGGATTCACGAGGACATGTGAAAGTGTTGCTCACACGATTAGATTGTGGTGGGGTGAAAGCTGTGAACATCATTTTGATCGAAATATTAAACCTCCAGCACCAACAGCATTTTTTTTTTTTTGTACAAAAATGTTTTTTTTTAAACAATCATCACGTCTTAATACCTGAATTTCACATACTAATTGTAGGCTTGCAACTATCTGTTTGATTAACGTTATTCAAGTCCATATTCCAATTAGACACTAATGATTGCTGAGGTTTTGTGAGTATTTGTCGTGACATGTTAGAGCCGGTCTCTTGGACACAAATGAAAACAAATCTTGAACTAATAGATAAAAGATTTTTGTTAATGACCAATTTTAATAACCATTTATTTCTGCTTTTTTGACCAATTAAATAAAACATGCATAATAATTTGTTTCGAAATAATTATAAATATTAACAATTGCATTTTTGTTGCACTGTAATTAATTCTTTGTTTAGTTGTTAGTTTTGAGATTGGTTGCAAATTAATTTTCATATTTGTTTTGGTCTAACTGTCGAGCTTAAAATGCTTCATGTTTTCCTCATTGTTTTATGTAAACGTTTTTATGCAAACGTAGTTATGCAAACATTTTATTTTATGTCAACATACAGTTGTGCAATGGCATTGTTGCTTTTCTTTAGACCTCCACTAAATGGTTTAAGTAGTAAATGTGAATATCGGTAAAAATATCAGTCGTCAAACAGTTATCGGTCTCCAGACCGATTATAGTCTCGATCCAAACCGATTATAGTCTCGATCCAAACCGATTATCGGTCTCCAAACCGATTTTCGTCTCGATCCAAACTGATCATAGTCTCGATCCAAACCGATCATAGTCTCGATCCAAACCGATCATAGTCTCGATCCAAACCGATTATAGTCTCGATCCAAACCGATCATAGTCTCGATCCAAACCGATCATAGTCTCGATCCAAACCGATTATCGGTCTCGATCCAAACCGATCATAGTCTCGATCCAAACCGATCATAGTCTCGATCCAAACCGATTATCGGTCTTGATCCAAACCGATCATAGTCTCTATCCAAACCAATTATAGTCTCGAGTCGATCCAAACCGATTATAGTCTTGGTCCAAATCGATCATAGTCTCGATCCAAACCGATTATCGTTCTCGATCCAAACCAATCATAAACTTGATCCAAACCGATCATAGTCTCGATCCAAACCGATTATACTCTCGATCCAAACTCTAACCTTTACTCAGTGTCCAAGAGACTGGGCCTTACTGTAGTAATTTGATCAAATGTGTGCTGTGATGTGTCAGAAGTTCTTCTAGGTCCTATATAATAATAATAATAAGGCCGAGGCTGTGATGCTATAGGTAACGTGTTTTGTGTGTTTGTGCAATTGTCAGTGTCATATAGCAATTTAAGTGCAGGGAGAGGAGAATGTCCCCACAAAGGAAGAACCATCAGGGAGTGAAACACACTTGCAAATGCATGAAAACAAGCCATTATACACACTCACACACTGTCAGACATACAGAGTACAATATTCAAGCTACAGGTACTGTTGCACAGGTGTGACATTACAATCTTAGACTGAAGTACAACCACCCTGTATGGGTCTCAAGATTTCCCCCACCTGCCCAAAATGTCCCACAGGCGTCTTGAATGTGCTTTTGTACACACACTCAGTCGAATATGCTTGAGTGTAGGTTTCTCACATAAAAAAACATCACCATGCATTCTAAACGCATGATTTGTGATCAAATAGGAAGCGTTATTTGATGTCACGTTTCAGTGTTATGGCAGCTTTACCCTCAGCGATATGTTTATAAATGGGGGTGGGTATAATCCTCCGTTACTGTGGATATAAAAAGGAAAATTTCGGGGACTGTGTGCCGATACTGCGCACAAGCCGTCCCAGATTCGCTATAGTACATTTGCACGTTCAGATATTTAAAATGATATGTGTTAAGACAAGTAATGTCATTTCAGCATTTTGCTAACATCTTGTGCTACATCTGCGAGTAACACTGACATCACATCACATGACATGTCACATACATTCTGAGCATGTCAACCACAGAGTCTGTTGTTGATAGCTTGTTATTGCTATTTCATGCATTTCTAGTCATTTTGCTTTTATGAATAAAATGTATTCTAACATAACACATTAAAACAAAACAACCCAGGAAAAAAGTGATAGTAATTCTGAAATCGTACTATTTAAAGGCTTTCAGCTTGGATATCTTTGTTAGACACGCGTTTATTCTCCCGAACCGTAAAGTTTACGTTGCATCTGTTACCCACAGCGATAATATTAATATCCCAATCCCCTAATCGCACAAGTTCCCCATCAACATCCGTCTTGAGCAGGACTGTCCATCAGGCTTGTTAGTGCGAGTGGAAATGTCTCTATTTGAGAGTGGACAAGACTGACCTTTCAAAACAAAAAACAGACATTGACTTATGATCGGTGACACACTAAACGCTGAGCATTCAGCATTTCTCCAGGTTTAACTGATAACATTTTTTTTTTCAAATGATGTCCAGGTAGATATCCATAGCATGTGTGTGTGTGTTTATTTTTTACTACAATAGCATGGTTAAAAGCATTACAAACAAAAAAAAGTCAAGTTGATATTTACACCGATAAAACCTTACTGCACAGCTAAATAGATAATATCCTTCACTACGAATATTATGATCACCAATTTCCTTCCATTCAGAGCTGCTGATATATTATTGATTATTACTAATGATTACTAAAGTTTTTATACAGAGCAGAGGAGAGGCTAGTCCTCTGATTCTATGCATGCGCTCCCTCACAGCAAACCTTCAGTGTTTTTAATGTGCTGTGTTGGTGTTTCGGGCTCCCTGCTCCAAGTGGAGGGTACCGTCGTGCCGACACATGCTCTCGCCAGCAGAGGGAGTCGGAGTGTGTGTGCGCGCGTGTGTGCGCGTGTGTCTAGGCTGGGGTCACAAGGGCACCTTAGACATACAATCGCACACATATGCGCAAGCACACACACACACACACTCGCTCTGCTCGAGCTCTGTTTCTAGCACCAGGGAAATGGAAGGCACCACACAACGCTGGATCACTGACCTTGGTGACAGAAGAGCATTTCGAGTACAGACTCTACTTCTGCCATGCAACTCTTATTTCTGTTCCTTTTTCTCCCTCTCGCCTGACTTGCACAATCCCCCCCCCATGACCCCCAACTGTGTTCTTTTCCTCTCCCTCATTTTGTTCATGCTGTTTATTCTTTTTTTTTGCTCCCATGTTTTCAGTCTGAGAGTAATATTGTGCAGGAAACACGTCTGAAACGGAGTGTCTTTACAAAAAAAACAAAAACAAAAAAAGATTCTGGTCATAATTCCATAGAACAACAATCCTAAACATATCAATAATAACATGTTCTTAAAAAAGTTTTTTTCTTCTCTGTGTATGTGTAGACTCAAGCCCCGCCCCCGCTGACCCCGCCCCTAGCCCAAGCCCCTCCCACAAACAATTCAATTTTTTTTCTACATTGATCTTTTTCAGTATTTTTTTTTTTTTTTGGAAAAGAAAGTTCAGAGTCAGTGGAATGAGAGACACTCTCATTGGGAAACGAGGGAAGAAAGGGATCAAAGGAAAAGGGGCGAGATGAAAAGAAAGAGGGGGGGGGGGGCAGGTAGAGACGGGACGAGGTTGGAGAAATGGAGGAAGGTGAACGTATGGATGTTAGGCGTAGAATTCCTCCTGCTTGTCCGGTTTCTGGTAGGTGACGGTGGCTTGTTTAGGCTCCTCCAATGTGTAGCTGCCTTCATCTTTCTTTTTCATCCGGTAGACGAGTAACATTACGAGGAACGCAGCGAAGAGCGCTCCGACTACACCTCCGACGATCACCGCTGGAGGAAGAACAAGAGACACTGATTACTTACAGCATTTCAAACTCACAGCATTATGAACACTTCAGCAACAATCACATTCTCTCCCACCATCCATAAATGTGCAAGTGTCATCTCTGCGTCAATGACAAATAAGAGTCTTCAAGATAAAGAGAAGGAATTTAAATCCCTTTTGAAATCAAGCACTGAAGACTGGAGAAATGATGCTGAAAATTCAGCTGTGCATCACAGGAATAAATTACATTTAAAATATATTTCGAAGTTATTTCAAATTGTAATTATATTTCACAATTTTACAGTTTCTACAGTATTTTTGAATAAATAAATGCAGCCTTGGTGAGCATAAGAGACTTCATTCTAAAACATCATGACATTGATCTCTTCCTTATCATGTTCATTTTGAAAATCAGTGTGAGATTTTAGGGGATGCAATGCCACCAATGAGCACGACTATAAATTAACTCTGAAAGAGACAATCGATATCAGTTTCATTATTGGTTTTGAACCAAACACATTGTGCGATTAAAACCAAACCATTGGAAAGAGAGAGAAATAGAGACACAGACAAACAAACACAAAACACATTTAAAGCTGCAGTCCGTAGTTTTTCCTCTTTGTTGCCATCTCTGTTCGAAATCTGCAATTGCAGTCATTCGCGGAATCATCAGCTTTACGTGAGTTGTGCCTCGACACCCTCGAGACGGCACAGCGCGGATCAACACAATGTTTGAGGAGAGTGTACGGCTGTCAGTCGCCGCGCCGGTGTGGATACTGGCATTCAGAATCACAGATTGTTCTTTTTGGAAGTATGACCAACATAATAATTTTCACCGGAAAATGAATGAACAAGTGAGTAACATCCACTTTTGCTCTGACCAACTAACTGAAAAAAATCATTGCAGTAAATCGCGCTGATTAAATCTAACGATCGCTTATCATATCACGTCAAACTGTGCAAATTATACTTTGGTCTCAAATTGTTAATGTTAACAACTAGGGATGTCCCGATCAGGTTTTTTTGCCCTCGAGTCCGAGTCATTTGATTTTGAGTATCTACCGATATCGAGTCCCGATCCGATACTTATATAATACATAAAAAAAGAATAAAGAAGAGAAAAAAAAAACGATCCAGGATGTTCCTTATTTTTTATTTAATTCACCTTATTTTAACATTCAACAACTCTGTTAACAAACAGAGCACTTCTGTGAGGTAGCTTGAACAATCAAGTAATAAATAACATAAATTCTTCACTTTTGGACTTTAGTGCTACAGTAAATATAGAAAAAGTCTAATATAAAAACAAATAGCACCTCAACTTAAAATACCCGGCAGGCATGTAAACAAAAAATAAAAATGTTTTAAAAGTGTATAAAAAAATAATGAGAATATATATATATACATTAGGGGTGTAACAGATCACAAAATTTGCGGTTCAGTTCGATACGATACAGCAAAAAGAAAGAAATGCGAGAGAAATTTCCTATTTATTAAAAGAAAAACTATTTTTAAATAAGTTTGAGTTTTCCTACATTTTGAAACTTTCAGGTTTATAAATGGGGGTAATCTTTGAAGGATGAACAAATAATGTTTGGTAATCACATTAAAAATAACATTTAAATATATATTTATATAATATGAGTTTTGAAGTGCAACATTAAATCCATGTTCATTCACGGCACAATGTTTCTCCTGGTTCCCACGTCAGCGCTGTTTGATCTAATAGAGATCTACGGTTAATAACGGAGAAATTTGAATGCTTCTCACTAGATCTCGCAGCGATGTTATTACTTCAAATGTTTTCTTCACTGGATCTCTTAGCACAGTGTCGCTTGATCTCGCGCTGCACAGATGTTGCTGTCCGAACTGATAATGGTCCGTTAAGCACAATATAATGAGTAGCGCAGTTTCGTTCCGCTTTCATTCCGTTTGCCATTTGATGTTGCGTTGTGGTGATCGCGCCAGCGCGGATTTTGTATGCAGGAAAAATGGTCCTAGGAATCGTTCGGTTTGTATGCGTACCGAACCGGGAGCCTCGTACCGAAACGGTTCAATAATTACGAATACATGTACCGTTACACCCCTAATTTACATATATCCGAGTCCTGATCGGGAGGTAACGTCCGATTCCGATCGAGTCTGAAACCACGTGATCGGGCCCGATTTCCGATCGCGTGATCGGATCGGGACATCCCTATTAACAACGTCAGCACTGCGTGACTACATTTAAAGCCCTTCCGATATTACCTTCCGATAAGGTATCCTTGTTTTCACATGGTTGCAGTCTCTTTTTTTCTGTAGCCACTCCGAAGTCCGAACGAAGTCTTTTGGATTTTACAACGGGTGAATCTGTTGTCACTGGTGATTGTCGTTTGAACCTTTCTGGATCCGCCATCAAATTGATAAGTTTAATTATATCAAGTACTGTGAGAAAAGGCTATGATTCTCTTACCGCTTTAAATCGAGCTAAGGCAAGCAGAGAGTTTTGAACACTGCCTGGTTATGTACTTGCTCAAAAAATTATTTTGGATAATTTTTAACCCCAAAAAGTTACGGACTGCAGCTTTAATCAAGGCAGGGAGAGTTTTAAATCTCTCTAAAACTAAAGCTTAACTGCGAGAGCGTAAAATACGATGTAAGAGCTAAATCCAAACTAATTTCACGCTATAGCCTGGGACTCCTACGTCATTACCTATGACCAGGAAGTCTGCAAATACAAAGCCAAACAGTCCTCCAATCAGAACAGCTGAGGAGAGAGAGACAGCATATCAGATGACAGAGCGAGACGAGAGGGGAGAGGGAGAGACAGAGGCGCAGCTAAACAAACAGAGGAGAAGGTGAATGTGAACAAGGAAGAAAGACAAAGAGCAGAAGAGCGTGTTCTCCACAAACAGAGAGAGAGAGAGAGGCTCTTGATTAAGATCATGAGAGCCAAGCTGTTCTTAAAGGGATAGTACACCAAAAATAAATGAAATCTATATAATTCAACCCAATTTTCTGGGTGAACTGTTCCTTTAAACAACTGATACAATATCAATACTATTGATATTGCTAATAGATAATGATTAAAAGGTTTTGTGAAATGCTATTTCATGCTTGAACCTTGAACATAATATTTACATCACCGTTGAAAATGTGGGAGTTAGTCAGATTTTTAAAGAAAAAGTATGCATTAAATTGATCAAAAGTAACAGTATAGTAAAGAGATTTATAGTAATATGAAATAATTCAAATAAACGCTGTTAATTTTAACTTTATCAAACAATACTGAAGACATTTTTATCATGGTTTCCACAAAAATATGAAGCAGCACAACTGTTTTCAAAATTGATAATAATCGGAAATGTTTCTTGAGCAGCAAATCATCATATTAGACTGATTTCTGAAGGATCATGTGACCCTGAAGACTGGAGTAATGATGCTGAAAATTCAGGTTTGATCGCAGGAATAAATTACATTTTAAAATATATTGAAATAGTTAGCCTATATAATATTTCACAACTTACTGTATTTTTGATCAAATAAATAATGCAGCTTTAGTTAGCATAAGAGACATCTCTCAAAAACACTGAAGGAATCTTACTAAACCCCAAACTTGCTTTATAATAATGCCAATAAAGTGTTTCCGCTGTGGGGTTTCAGTGTGATCTATTTATTTGCATCGCCTCTAAACTTATAAGCTGCAGGAAGACAGACACAAAATATGTACAGAAAAATAGAAAATGAAAGATATATACGAGACAATAAGACAGACAGAAGTCAAAAAAGGTGGGATAGAGTTGTGGAAGGGTTGTGGAAGGTGTCTCATCTCACCTATCAAGACCTCCTTCCTCTCGAGGATGTTCTTCTGTGGAAGTTGAGCAGCCGAGCTTCCGGCAGCATCTACTGTGTTCCCGCTCAGATCCGGTTCTCCTGCTCCTCTTCCTCGACCGAGCTCGTTGCCTTGGCCAGCTTCAGTCTCGCGGATCTCAAAGTCACCACTTGGACCTGGTCCTGCAACTTCATTATTTACAGTTTCATCTGTTGTTTGTGTCTAAATGAGGAACACGAGAAAAAAAGAAAAGAAAAGAAAAAAATGATCATAACCTTTCACAATTGCACAATAGATCATGTGTAGCTGAAAAGAAGATTTCCAGGGAAGCAGAGCAAAAACTGCTGACCGACCGTCCTGTAAAAGTGCTTGGTTCTGAATGCATAGAAATAGCAAAATTGTCTAAATCATCTGACGAAAGTATGATTTTGATGCACTATGCACAAACTGAACGAATGGCATTCTTTCACAGATGACATTCATATGCACAAATAATACAAATAATTTTTTTCTTAGTCTTAAATGTCCAAAAGGTTTTTGGGGCCACTGTATTTGAACCCAATGTGAATGAGAGCATGCTTACAGAGCAAAAGTATGAATGTAAACAGCAATAATGGAATTAGGGATGGACAATATATTGGTACCATATCAGTTATTGGGTACTATATAATCGAGTTTACCTCGCCATCATCTAACGCTCACTGAAACGTAATCTTTAAAAACATTAATAATTCGTTAATACTGTTAAATGTAATATTTGGCATATTTTTAAATCTGTACTTTATAATGTTGCTATGCCTAAATTAGCAACATTGTGAAATTTATAATTTCAATGTTTGGTGTTTTGTGTTTAATTTAAGACTTTGAGTAATATAAAATGTTAATATCTTATAACATTTTAATACCTGCCTTTTTTTTTATAATTAGTGGCATGTCTGTATTCCCAAAATGTTCATATCGGTGCAGCCTCACATGGAATGTTATATTTGTTTTTATTTAAGACATATAGATAATATACAATTTTAATATCTACCATTTATTGAAAATATTTACTGGCCTATCTGCATTGGCCAGAATTTTCATATTGTTGTATTCTTACTAACTAACTAACTAACTAACTAACTAACTAACTAACTAACTAACTAATTTACCAACAGACAAACTAACAAACTAACTAACTAACTAACTAACTAACTAACTAACAGACAAACTAACAGACAAACTAACAGACTAACTAACAGACTAACTAACTAACCAACTAACCAACAGACAGACAAACTAACAGACAAACTAACAGACAAACTAACAGACAAACTAACAGACTAACTAACAGACTAACTAACAGACTAACTAACAGACTAACTAACAGACTAACTAACTAACCAACAGACAGACAAACTAACAGACAAACTAACTAACCAACTAACCAACAGACAGACAAACTAACAGACAAACTAACTAACTAACTGTCTAGAGTTGAGATTAATCCACCTATCCCACCTGTGTGCTGGAGCTCATGAGCGAGCGAGTGCTGCTCTCAGTCGGGGCGGCTCTACTCGGGGTAGTCTGTGGTTGCCGGGGTCGTACGGGGGCGGGGCTTGGCGTGGTCTGTGGTTGCCGGGGTCGTACGGGGGCGGGGCTTGGCGTGGTCGGAGCAGGGCGGGCTCTGGTCGATTTAACAGTGGTGGACGAAACGGTGGTGGGCATGACCTCAATGGTTGTGATGTCATCAGTGGTGGTCTCTGGTGTGGATGGCTCAAACATCATGGTTTCTGTAGTAATGTACAGATCGTCCTCTTCCTCCAGGTCACTAGGGGCCACTGTAGTCTCACCCAGAGTGGTGGTTGAGTCCACGAACACTTCAGGAACATCAGTCAACCGCGGTGCAACCGTAGCCTTCGGCCTCTCTTGGTCCAACCTTATTTCCGTCACGGATTCCTGATCTCTATCCTCCTCCTCAATCTCCCACTTTTTCTCGTTCTCCATTTCCGGTTTGCTGTCTGTGTCTACATCTTGTCCCAGGCCGCTCTCTCGCTCCAGCTCAGGTGCAGGTGGGCGGCTGGGCTCGGCGGCCGGGGGGGCCGAGGGGGCGGGGCCTGTGGCCTGTGTGGTGGAAAGTGGGAGGGGCTCCTTTGTAGTGAAAGCCACACTTGCTGCACTCGGACGAACATCCATATCTGGAACTGGAAGAGAAGAGAAAGAGCTATGAAAACACTGAAGGAGATCAATACTCTCAGCCATTTTAGACCGTGTTAATGTGTCATATGATACCCAGCGCAAGCGTCTGCAAGGTTGGTCAGCACAGGAATGTGAACATCCCCATGGCAACACATGAATAAAATATCAATAACCTTGGTAAGAAATACACAAGCACACACACTAGATACAGAGAACAAAGCAAACAGCACTGCAACACACAAACTCTCCTCATAAAGCACACACACACACACACACACACAGATGGTGGTTTTTAACTACAGGCACTTTTATGTCCCACGGGTTGATTTTTTATTAAAGCAAACTGATTTCAACAGATAAAAGATTTTTTTCTTTCTATTAAATGAAGGCCACATTAGAAACTTTGCCTTCATCGTTTATTTTTTGCTGCTTTTCAAATGCTAAATGTGTAGATTTGACTGTTTACACTTGACCTTGACGTTTTATCTCAAACTATGAAAATCCATCATAATAAATATATTTAAAAAAATATGATAATCTAAACAATGAATAAAATAATCAAAAAACATCATCAATATTGTGTGAAGATATTATTTTTATATTATTATAGTTATATTATCTAATTTTTTACATAAATTGTTCTTATAAGTTATGTAATTTCCAACACAACCAGTTTTTCCACTGATAGTTAAAGGATTATTTTATTTTGTATTGATTTTTATTCTTTTTTTTCTGTTATTGTCAAATTATGCAAGAAAAGTAAATAAAAATAAATCTGTATTTAGTAAATGGTAGCTATGAAAAAAATGGTAGCTATGAAAAATAGCCATTTTAGTCCAAACCAGTTATTTTTTATATTTTTATTATATTTCAGTTATTATATCTTATTATAGTTAAATTAAACTAAAACCATACAAAAACATTTTTGTTGCTTTAAATAAAATACACAACAAAATCACTAAAACTTTAACTAAAATTTAAATGAAAACGGAAAATATATATATATAAAACAATTCAAAATATTAATCAAAACTATAAATTACACTAAAATAACACTAGCCCAAAATTGTTTAAAATCTCATTTCCACCACAGAATTTTGTCAAATACATAAAAACTGAAATTACATTGTAGTGGTAATGTTCATGATTTTCAAGTCTCCTGTGATATATTTATGTTTGCTGTTAAATAAAGTTAGTGGTCAAATTAAAAAAAAAAATGTGTGAAAAGTGTGTTTGAAGAGAGTTTATTTTCTAAGCATCCACAGGGCACAAAGTGCACAGAAGAAACACCAAACACTAGCGGATAGTGGCTGTCCACACCCAGATTCCTGCTGATTAACTGATCTTATTTACAGTAATCTGATTACTGAGGATCAGATGATCACACTCACACACACACACACGCGTTGTGTTTTCCCCTTACACTAACCCGACCCCTAAACCTACCCATCACACAAAACTTTCTGCATTATTACATTTTTAAAAAACATCACTTAGTCTGATTTATAAGCAGTTTTCCTCATGGGGACCAAAAAAAAACAAGGATTTCGGATTTTGCCATCCTTGTAGGGACATTTTGTCCCCATGATGTAGGGTTTACCAGGACCTCACACTCACTCACTCGCTCACACACTCACACACACACACACACACAAAGAAGTGCTTTTTATTTATGCTTCTATTTTACTGTCGGTCTGTGGGCTTTAGTTAAACAGAGGCTAAAATAACTGTATGAAGTTGTGGGAGGAATGTGTGAGAGAGAGAGAGTGTGTGTAAGAGAGAGAGAGAGAGATGAAGGCGTTGAGTTGTGAGAATTACACCAGCTGGTGAGGGGATTGGAAGTCCGGGATGGACTTATAAACAAGGCAGCTGTGACCTCGTAATGAGTGATTCACACGTCACAAACACAACACACACATCACACTCACAGCCAGAGCCGGATCCAGAGGAGAAGTCTTCATCATCATATAACTCATCTCCATCTCCAGAACTCTCCACGTCGCTCAGTCGACGCTGGGCCTTAAAACAGAGAAAAACAAGTCAGACATGTTTGTGACGTTTCAAAACCAATATCAGATTTACAGTATGTGTGTGTGTGTGTGTTTGTTCATGTGTAAGTGTGAAGGGGTCTTGTGTGGGGAGCCGTTTCATCGAGAGGCCCGTTGCTAGGGGCAACACTTGCATTTAACCCAATTTCTTAAATAGGGATGAAAATTCAGCAGAAAGAGCTCTAGACTGTCCTCAGACCCAATGTGTCATATAAATGAGAAAACTGTGGTCATAATAATGCTGTGGTATAATGCTTAAATTCCATTATATTACAATGCAAACAGTTCCATTAAAAAAAGTTTTAGAGGCTATTTTTGGCAAGAAACATGTCAGTGAACCTGTTATGCCATTGATTTTGTTCTCTACTAGAATAAGTTTTTATGCTTCAATGTTCAAAACACATTATTTTCCCCATATTCTCCATTGTTGCAGCTCCTCTATTCCCAGTCTGTCAGTAACGCTCTGTTTAGTTCCTGTCTCTATGAAGCCCCTCCTTCTGAAAAGCACACTGTGCTCTGATTGGTCGGCTGGATCAGTGTGTTGTGATTGGTCAAGCGCTTCCAGTGTGTTTGGGAAATGTCCCGCCTCTTACCATAACCGCCAGTTTCAACACACGTCTAACTAACTCAAACAGGCCCCGCCCCTTTATTCTGCGTATTAATTATTTAAATGAGGAATATTGGGACGTGTTCGTTCCTGGAGGAAAACTCAAGACTACAATGGAGGCGTGTAAAAGCTCTACACTCTTGTCTGTATCATTCTTTGCTCTTGTGGTCTCTTTCCTTCCCCCCACTCTCATGATTGGTTGATCTCCATACCGGCAACACCCCATAAATACTTAAACCCATAAACCTACCCCATGCCCTCCCTATAACCCCCCATAAACACACACACACACACACACACACACACACACTCAAAACTGCTCTCAGTCATCAGCATGCACCGAAGCTTAAGTGCATCACACACAAACAGACACACAGTTATGATTGTGCCCAGTTCTGTATCAAGCTTAATTACATATGCACATAATGTCTGCATATGTGTAAGCATATGTCATTCATCTGCACTCAGGGCTAGCTGAGATACAAATTAAAAATATATACATGCATTTAAATATGATATAATATGGAATTATAATTTTTTTAAATGTTTTTGGAAGTGTCTTATTCTCACTAAGGGCTGCAGTCAGGTGAAAATACTGGTACAGTAAAACCAGTAATATCACAAAATAATATTACAATTTAACATTTTCCATTTGAATATATTGTAAAATGTAATTTATTCCTGTGACCAAAGCTGAATTGTCAGCATCATTACTCCAGTCTTCAGTGTCACATGATCCTTCAGAAATCATTCTAATATGATGATTTGATGCTCAAGAAACATTTTTAGTTATTATTATAATCAATTTTGAAAACAGTTCAAAAACAGCTGCTTTATATTTTTGTGTAAACTGTGGATTCTTTGTTGAATAGAAAGTTCAAAAGAACAGCATTAAAAAAACTGAATTCATTTGTAACATTACAAATGTAATTTTTTTATCAATGTTTTTTTTTTTTTTTACTAAAATATGTAAACTACATTAACACGAACATGGTGAAGCAAAGAACATTTAAATGAAGTCATTAATTCCCTGAATAGTGTTTCAAATAAAATACATTTTTTGATTTATAGTTCATTGATTCATAAACAATCTTGTATTTAAGAGACAAGGTATTTAAAGGGTTAGTTCACCCAAAAATGAAAATTCTGTCAGTATTTACTCACCCTCATGTTGTTCCAACCCCGTAAGACCTTCGTTCATCTTCGGAACACGAATTAAGATATTTTTGATGAAATCTGAGAGCTGGATCACTGACCTTTAGTCAGTTAACGTAGTGTGATTCCGTAGAGCTACGTCACACGTAGGCTCACTATTGGCCGACGCTGGTCATGTGCGTGATGCGTGTGACGTACAACAACAGAAGCTTACGCTATTACGCTAGTGAACTGACTCGAGGCCCACAGAGAAGGAAATGAATAGTTGAAATAAAGTCGTTATTTTTGTTGTTTTGCGCACAAAAAGTATTCTCGTCGCTTGATAAACTTAAGATTGAGCCACTGTAGTCACTTGGACTATTTTAACGATGTCTTTAATAACTTTTCGAGGCCGGCAAGTTCAATCCCTGAAGAAGCCTATGGACTAGTATGGAGGAGTGATCCAGCTCTCAGATTTCATCAAAAATATCTTAATTCGTGTTCCGAAGATGAACGAAGGTCTTACAGGGTTGGAACAACATGAGGGTGAGTAATTACTGACAGAATTTTCATTTTTGGGTGAACTAACCCTTTATTGCCAGATAGAAACGCACATTTAAATCCTCACGATAATGTTATTTTACGAGCAAAATCACTTACTATATCAGCAGCTCTAGTACACCAGCAAACTGAAGTGATTCCAATTACTTTTCTAGCCATTTTATCAACTAAAACAGTTCCTAATGGCGCTATGGATTCATGCCGATCTTTTTTTAAACACAAAGTGCATGTGAACACCAGGGAATCAGATCCAACTGCGCCTCGAGCTGAACGGCTTCTAACCACAGGCCATTCAGCAAATGCAATCAAGTCTAATGCGATTTCCTCTCCAACCTGTACAACACTCAGAGATACATGCTGGAGACACTCCGTCCGGATCTCCTTCCCAAATCCTTGCGAAATCTGCTGGAGAAGCGAGATGCAGCCGGTGTGCATATTTGGAAAGATTGTGTGTTTGTGGACGTCTGCGTATCCTCCCCTGTAATGGTGGGGTTGGTTTGTGGTGTAATTCGGTCTACGATATGATTAAGGGGTAGAACTGGCTCGCACAGCTAGGGTTCTTTCACAAACAGTGTGTGTGTGGAGATAGAGAGGGGGTGTGGGTAAAAGCTTTTTAGAGTCAAATGTAAATATAACATCATCTGTCTGGCAGCACAGAATGACAAAGAAACCAGAGTAGGCCTGCATGATTATGAATGATCAGTTTCCTTTGATATTGTAATCATGGTTATTCATTTTGATTATTAGAATTTGCATTATTATGCTTATTATGTGTGAGGCAATGGGTATGTACTTCTGTAAATTAAAAAAAATGGTGTCCAATTTGTCCAAATGAACATTAGCCCTCTTTTGCAGCATTAACAAATAATTACATTATGAAATATAATTTTTATAAATAAATGTTTTTTTAATAATTATAAATTTAATTATTCAAAAAAAAAATATGTATACACACACACACACACATATATATATATATATATATATATATATATATATATATATATATATACACATACATATGTGAATAATGTTTTTTAAGCTATGTATTTTAAACATATTCAAATAAAAATATATATTTTAGTTAACAAAGAAATGTAACATGTCTGTATCTGGTTGCAATATCTAATCACTACAAAAAGGCTTTAAGTATAAACTACTAGACTATTAAAGAATAGAACCAAATGTAAGTCAGTAAATTCCACTTTTCATAATTAAATGTGGCAGCCATAAACACAATTTTGGAAATGTATGTGCTCTCTTGTTGTTCTGTACTGGCATCTGTGCGTGTGTGTGTGTGTGTGTGTGCGTGAGAAAGAGAGAGATCAGTGTGTAAAAGTTAAGAGGTGAGTTGGTTACTAGGTAATGACCTCATTATAAGAGTTAAACACACATATGTGAATGAATGCACATCTACATATGCCACTACATACTCACTCAGTTACACATTACAGCACCTCCGCCTAGAAAACATCTGACCCTCAAGTTTAAACTTTGTCTCTTGAAATGTGTGTTATACATGTATGAAGTGGACAGCTGTTTCTGAGGGACAATCCTTAATCCAACCAGCAAGTGATCCCATAATCCCACGGGATTAGGACCATGTCGGATGCCCATATGGGTAAGACGCCCGCGTGTCAGTATAAGAGCTCCTCCGTCGCATAGCATTTAGCATTTATGATGCTGTGACAAAATCTGACCCTGGTTTAATCAACAAAGCCGGGAACATAACCAAATTTTCAAAAAAGTTAAATATAAAATTTCCCTCTACTGTAATTTGACATATTTGAGAGTGAAATAGGATATTCAATGAGAAACAAATCTAGGCTGGAGCGAGATTTTATTCATCTGGAAATGATTGGATTGTGGAAAGTGACAGGTGTTTGGAGGGGAGGGGTTGAAAAATAAAAAAGTTAATAAATAATACATAAAATAAAAATTATACACAACCATGCATAAACACACACACTGTATATATATATATATATATATATATATATATATATATATATATATATATAGTGGGGGCAGAACAATATATATATATATATATATATATATATATCTCAATTCCAAAAATTTTATTTAACATTTTTACTAATGTTCCCTGTAAAGCCTGGCTCACACTACAGGAGTTTTAGGCCGATTTATGCCCGATTCTCCCCTCCCGAGAATCGGAGAAAAAATCTCGTCGAGGACCTCGATCGGTTCCGATGTTCGGCACAGATTATCTGGTAATGTGAGGCATTCACAGATCGAATCTTGCACCTCCCGATCTGCTCTTACATAAATCGGGCTCGCCCCGATCATTTCAAACATGTTTGATATTTATCGGGATGAGCAAGATTGTGATTACGTCAGTACTGTCACAATAGCCAATAAGTAGGGCTGTCATGGTGAAGGAATTTCCATTGAGGTAATTTTGAGTGACTCAACAGCGCGATGCGCGCATTATCTCCATTTATCCATTTATTGCTAAATAAATAAGCATAATACAGTATAATAAATAATAATAAAATACTAAATGCATAATAAAGGCATCTGAAATAATAAGTAGCCTACAATCTAGTGTTGTCAAAAATATAGATTTTTCGATATCGATCCTGAACCATCTGCAACTCTTCCGTCTTCCGCAGGATGCACGCGATCTTCAGTAGTGAACGCGCCAGAGAGAAATGCACATTTCATACGGATTACATAAGCAGAGTGCAGTCTGTAGTCTGTTTTCTTTCGTTTTGAATTGTTCTGTTTAAAAGTAGACATGTCTGTGAGGCAAGTACGTAGGCTATCTTGTACGCTGAGTTTCGGTTAATTTATCAAGTATCGCCGACGCCTCCGTTTCGTGATTATCTATCGTCTGCTATAGCTATTTACTTCCTATTTATAAAAATCCAGGCAATTGGTTGATGAAACATTGTTTAAAATTAAGATACAATTAATACAAAACGAAATTCGATTTAAAGAAAGGTTTTGTGCTTTCTGTTTGATGTCTTTGTGAAAGTTTTAAAGCATATTTTAAAGTCGCTTAGAGCGGTCATGTCCGTGACATTGTTTTTTCCTCAAATGCCAACACGAAAAATAAAATAATATGAATATTTTATGTTCTGTGGAGACTGAGAGCCCTTTCTTCATCCGGTGGGTAGTAGCTACTGTAGGCTATTACTTTGGTTTGCACAGTGTAATTCACAGAATTAGGCCTAGGCCTACACAAAAATATTTTCATTATAAAATATTTATATTCATTATAAAGTTATATTCATTCAAAGATAGGTTAAATGAAACAAGCTGTTAATTATTTTAATTTTAACTTTGAGCTCCACTTTACAATGCTCAGCTGAGCAGCAATGGGCATTGAGCAACGCTGCTGATGCGTTACCTTATAGAGATCTATGGCATTGATTCATTGTATTGAACAGAGCTGACGCCATTCATTAGAAATATCCTTATTAAAAGGATGATTTTTTTTTAAAGATTTCGCTTTCCTTAGTCACACGGCAACCTTTTCACGAATATGACTTGATATGAAGGACAGATATTTTGTTTAGCCTACATCCACCTTTCCGCTTCCGATCTGTTGCGTGAGATCACGTGAGGCGCTTTCTCTGGCACGAATCTTAATAGAGGGTATGCGCATGACGTCACCGTCGGCCGGAGTGAATGCGGTCACGCCCACAAGTGGCAAAAAGACTGAGCGGCAGCATTTGTTTTCAGCGTGAATGCCGTGAAAATCACACAAAACACATCTAAAACGGGAAAGAGCTTTGCGATTGACTGTACAACTAGATTTGACCAGAAATCTGAGGTACTGTATATTTTTACAGACTGCAAAAAGCTACAGAACAGACTATATTCTGCATAATTGGATGTTTTTAAATAAACACTGACAAAAAACTATACAAGTTTTAGGGCTGGACGATATGATGATATACAGTATAACATTAATGTAAGTGATCACTCGGATTTAGACCTATCTATATTGTATTTATATAAAACGTTTACAGGCAAATTGTCTTCATTTATTTCCCCGGCGTCGAAATCAGGCACATATAAATGTCAGGAAACACGATTCCTGGCTGCATGTCAATATCCATGGATCACTGGATCTTTGATAAGTTGTAAGGAACGCTATATCGAATCCAACTTTTAGTTTAAACTGATAATAGTTTGTTTTACTCGCGTTAACGCAGTTTCCCCTATTAACTCCAGTCACGCAGCAGCTCTTCTGCCACTCAGTCCCGCTGAGGGGGGCGTGTTCCGGCGGGGAAGTGACGTTAACGCATTCCCTCTATAACATTGTGTAGTGTGTGATGCGCCACGATTTTCAAATCTTGTAGTGTGAGCATGTTTAAGATTTGAGGTAAGAAAATCTGCAAAGATTCTCCTTAAGTGTGAGCTGCAACCAGATTTCAAAATCGGTTAGGATTTTAAAACTCCTGTAGTGTGAGTGAGGCTTAAGAGTAATTTTTTAACGTAGACTTCGACATAAAACATTGGCTTCCATGTTACAAGAGAAATGTAATGTTTTTTAATAATCAAAGATGAGGAGTTAAGGAAGGCAGCTTTGGGTTTTCCAAGCGTGATGCTGGCAAAGTGTCTAGAAAGCTTTCTGCTGAGAAGTTGCCATGGAAACACTTTCACGGTATATTATCCGAGTCATGACCGTTCTTCCCACACGACAGCCAGTCTACACACACCCGGAATCACTGCTGTCTGGGATAACAGGGTAAAGCAGGGCAAACTCGCGGCAGCATGTGCGTAACATGACCGCTTTCACGTGGACTCATAATAAACTCAACAGTGCTGATCGAGTGGTTCAAGTGCGCAGTGTTTGTGAAGTTTCAAGGATGGTATTGTGTGTGTGTGTGGGGGTGAATGAACTCTTTCTCCTCGCAGGCAGATGGGGCTTCCTGCAGATCATAACTTCTCTTGTGTTTCTAAGAAACTTTTCAAAGGCGCTAAAAAATGCAGCCAGGGGCTAGGGAATGGCCAGCCTTTGTGCGTATGTGGGTGTGTATGTAAGGGCGAGTGTGTGTGGCCCGTCTTTGTGATTATGAACAATCCTCCCCCTATCCCAGAATCCCCTGCTGTTCTCAGTGTGTGTGTGTTTGAACTTCTGTATGTGCCCGGAGATCCTCATTTCCCATATCTTTGGGGACAATCTCAATTTTGCTGCACAAATAAAAAGAAGGATAAGGTACATAGAAGTGAGGGAACATGAGCAATGGCAGGATTCCTGGAACAGCAGAAGCTGAAAGTGCAATTGGAGCAATTCTGAGCTATTATGGAGAGTTGTTGCTCAGTAACTGCATACCTGACTTGAGTACAGAAGTGGATGAGAAACGCTGTGGAAATCTGGTCCGGTGTCAAGTATTTAATAGCATCTACCGCCACTGACGACACACACTACAGAATCATACTTTTCAACAAAGGAGTGC